CATACACATACACACACATATACATACATACATACACACACACATACATACATACATACATACACATACACACACATATACATACATACATACATACATACATACATACATACATACATACATACATACATACATACATACATACATACATACATACATACATACATACATACATACATACATACATACATACATACATACATACATACATACATACATACATACATACATACATACATACATACATACATACATACATACATACATACATACATACATACATACATACATACATACATACATACATACATACATACATACATACATACATACATACATACATACATACATACATACATACATACATACATACATACATACATACATACATACATACATACATACATACATACATACATACATACATACATACATACATACATACATACATACATACATACATACATACATACATACATACATACATACATACATACATACACACATACATACACACATACACACACACATACATACACACATACACACACACATACATACATACATACATACATACATACATACATACATACATACATACATACATACATACATACATACATACATACATACATACATACATACATACATACATACATACATACATACATACATACATACATACATACATACATACATACATACATACATACATACATACATACATACATACATACATACATACATACATACACACATACATACACACATACACACACACATACATACACACATACACACACACACACATACATACATACATACATACATACATACATACATACATACATACATACATACATACATACATACATACATACATACATACATACATACATACATACATACATACATACATACATACATACATACATACATACATACATACATACATACACACACACATACACACACACATACATACATACATACATACATACATACATACATACATACATACATACAGACAGACAGACAGACAGACAGACAGACAGACAGACAGACAGACAGACAGACAGACAGACAGACAGACAGACAGACAGACAGACAGACAGACAGACAGACAGACAGACAGACAGACAGACAGACAGACAGACAGACAGACAGACAGACAGACAGACAGACCGACCGACCGACCGACCGACCGACCGACCGACCGACAGACAGACAGACAGACAGACAGACAGACAGACAGACAGACAGACAGACAGACAGACAGACAGACAGACAGACAGACAGACAGACACAGAGACACACCCACCAAAACGACTGACCACGCTTGATATACAAAAGTACAAAAGAGTTCATAAATCCTATCGCAACAGGCCCTAAAAATGCTGGAGTTGGTTCTGCGACGCCCTGTAAAGGATTCGCTGCTAACTTTTAACGTAACTCCGGTTACATTTTTGCCATCCTATTTAGCCGGTAATGTCCTTTTAAAGCCTTGTTGTTAATTACCCAATTTCCTGTTTATGCTATCATAATCTCCCGTATCACAGTAATGTCATCCCAAAGTCCCTGTTTTCTGCCATCATAATCTCCCGTATCACAGTAATGTCATCTGGAAGTTCCGTTTTCTGCCATCATAATCTCCCATGCCACAGTAATGTCATCTGGAAGTTCCGTTTTCTGCCATCTCTATACCCCATTTCTACGACCCAAGTGAACTGTTTTCGCCATCTCTACCTTCCGGTTGTGGCATCCTATTGTCTGGTCATTTTCTAGATCACAATATCCCGTGTATACAATCATTGAATCTCGTTCATGCCCTCTATATATTATAATCGCAATGTGCCGTCTTATCTCTTGGAAATATGGTCAGCCAATTAAAATAAGAGCAGAAAAGCATTCTCCCCTACCCCATCTTCCCCAACAGACTTTCCATATCTCGGCAGTGACAAGCCGACACTAACGATGATCGAATCAATAACCCTCAGCCACGAGCATGACAATGCAACATTTTCAACCAACCCACGTTTCCTAGAAATTTGCCACTAGAAACCTGGGTAACTATTATCATCATCATCAAGTGGCTTGCCAATATGCATGCCCGAACACCATTTTTTCACACACCCCTCATACATTAATTGTAAAATTTCTTTTTCTTCTTTTTCTTCTTCGCGTTCACCAGCTGTAAACTCTAGCAGAAAGTTTTGGTTGTTCATCAACTTCTGGACAGCAGTCCTGTTCGAGAACATGAGTGTTGTGTGTGCATCCGTTTTACAGTTCTGACTCATTTGTATGCAGACTGCTGGTTCCTTGCCTCTCAGGCAGATGCACTCCGATTTTGAAGAAAGCTCCTAATTATTCGACTCTTACGACATGCTTTTGAGTAGGCAGTGCGTCTATTCTTGTTTTCCCTTTAACAGGGCCCGGAACCCACACGGTGAATTGTATACTTTAATGTACTTGTTGCTCGTATCGACAAGTTATCATATCGCTCCGAACCACTCGTGCGCCATCCTCCCATGCAGTAGCTACATCAGTGTCTCTATACTTACCGTATCCAGTAGGAGTTGATTTGCGTATCACAAATGCGGTTTCTACATACTTCTCCTCGTTTGACACCCACTTCCAGAAGCCGAAGTTTGCCAGTTTGGATCTTCTTACACACTTTCATTAAGTTCAATTCTTCTACTTCTGCCTTTCTGTCCCACAGTTGAGTTCAATTACTGATTTACTAATCCACATCTTTGCACACCGTGCATTCCCATAGATATTATGTTTTCAAGTGTAGAAGCTGTTCCTGTAGCACATGTCTCAGGGTGTAGAAGCTGTTCCTGTAGCACATGCCTCAGGGTGTAGAAGCTGTTCCCGTAGCACATGTCTCAGGGTGTAGGAGCTGTTCCCGTAGGACATGTCTCAGGGTGTAGAAGCTGTTCCCGTAGCACATGCCTCAGGGTGTAGAAGCTGTTCCTGTAGCACATGTCTCAGGGTGTAGAAGCTGTTCCTGTAGCACATGTCTCAGGGTGTAGAAGCTGTTCCTGTAGCACATGTCTCAGGGTGTAGAAGCTGTTCCTGTAGCACATGTCTCAGGGTGTAGAAGCTGTTCCTGTAGCACATGTCTCAGGGTGTAGAAGCTGTTCCTGTAGCACATGTCTCAGGGTGTAGAAGCTGTTCCTGTAGCACATGTCTCAGGGTGTAGAAGCTGTTCCTGTAGCACATGTCTCAGGGTGTAGAAGCTGTTCCTGTAGCACATGTCTCAGGGTGTAGAAGCTGTTCCTGTAGCACATATCTCAGGGTGTAGAAGCTGTTCCTGTAGCACATGTCTCAGGGTGTAGAAACTGTTCCTGTAGCACATGTCTCAGGGTGTAGGAACTGTTCCTGTAGCACATGTCTCAGGGTGTAGAAGCTGTTCCTGTAGCACATGTCTCAGGGTGTAGAAGCTGTTCCCGCAGCACATGTCTCAGGGTGTAGAAGCTGTTCCCGCAGCACATGTCTCAGGGTGTAGAAGCTGTTCCCGCAGCACATGTCTCAGGGTGTAGAAGCTGTTCCTGTAGCACATATCTCAGGGTGTAGAAGCTGTTCCCGCAGCACATGTCTCAGGGTGTAGAAGCTGTTCCTGTAGCACATGTCTCAGGGTGTAGAAGCTGTTCCTGTAGCACATGTCTCAGGGTGTAGAAGCTGTTCCTGTAGCACATGCCTCAGGGTGTAGAAGCTGTTCCTGTAGCACATATCTCAGGGTGTAGAAGCTGTTCCCGCAGCACATGTCTCAGGGTGTAGAAGCTGTTCCCGTAGCACTTGTCTCAGGGTGTAGAAGCTGTTCCTGTAGCACATGTCTCAGGGTGTAGAAGCTGTTCCTGTAGCACATGTCTCAGGGTGTAGAAGCTGTTCCTGTAGCACTTGTCTCAGGGTGTAGAAGCTGTTCCCGCAGCACATGTCTCAGGGTGTAGAAGCTGTTCCTGTAGCACATATCTCAGGGTGTAGAAGCTGTTCCTGTAGCACATGTCTCAGGGTGTAGGAGCTGTTCCCGTAGCACATGCCTCAGCGTGTAGAAGCTGTTCCTGTAGCACTTGTCTCAGGGTGTAGAAGCAGTTCCCGTAGCACACTTCCTTGCTGGGAGGCTGATTGTGTCTGTAACTGTCAATGCGTGAGTTGTTTTCTGTTCCGCCTGTGATTGCTGCTGTCCGCATAGTCCTTTTAGAAGACATGAAACTGAATGCTTGTCTTTCTTCTTTTACTGTTTTACCATTTACCTGAGCTATGTATGCCCAATCAGATATAGTGAAGTGTGCTAGTGGATAGAGTCTTTTATCTCTGCAATACCTGCCCATGGTGATTATCACCTCCGTGTGCTCAATTATTTGGTAAACTGATAACACAATTTCCCACAGGAGACTCAAATCTGCACAGAATCTTCGGATTTTTCGCATTTTTTTCTGAATGTCTTCCTAACCTTTGAGAGCATATGGGCCAGTTTGTCTGTTTCTTCGTCGTCTTCTTCTTCTTTTGCTTCTTCTGTTCTTCTTCCTCTGCTTCTTTTTCGCGTTCATCAGCTGTAAACTCAGGCGGAAAGTTCTGTTTGTTGCAGAACCTGAGTTGTGTATGCAGACTACTGGTTCCTTGCCTCTCAGGCTGATGCACTCCAACTTAGAAGGAAGCTCCCACTTAGTCGACTCTTACGACATGCTTTTGGGTAAGCAGTGGGTCTATTCTTGTTTTCCCTATAAAAGGGCCCCAGAACTCACACGGGGAATTCCTCTTTTTGATTGGCCTTCTGATTTCAGCTGAGGACTCAAAGCTTTGTACGTATGTCTGCAAATTATCCATCATGAGATCTTGGTCTGCTGTTGATGGACTCCCTTTGAACTCTTTAGTGTATGCAGTGTTTGTCTCTCAGTTACGTGTCGTTCTCATGACCACCTGCCTGGCATGACATTGAAGGTTGTGACGTCACGGGCATACAAGTGTGTTTTCTGTTTCCCTCACAGGAAGTAAATATGGCAGACATGACCCGACTTAACGAGGAGGTCAAGGCCAAGGCCAGGACAAACAGGGTCAATGCCAAAGACGCTCTTGAACTCGTACAGGCTCAATTTCTGGCCAGGGGCGCAAGTGGGATCAAAGGGGCGCAACGGTAAGTGCTCTATGTGGATGTGTACACGCCGATCTTAGTAGATAGGGATTATAGAGATCCGTCTATGATAGGTTAGTTACGTATCCTTTATAGGACTTTGCAGAACCAACCCAAACAGCTGTTGTGTGGTTTTACTAGCCAAATTTACGTCCAGTAGTTTGCCATTTCCCCTGGACGGTCGGCTTTCTTTATACCACTATCGAAACTGACGCAAGGCGCATGGCCCGCAGCTGGGATTGAACCCGGCATCCCGGCATTTCGAAGCTTTCGCATCGACTTAGCCACAGAGCCTATGACAAACTAACCATAAAACTAGTATCGGTACACCAAAGTTGAGTGATTGTAAATCTGATGTGCCCTATACGGGCAATCATATATTGAGATGCTGACACCACCAAGATTGATACAGTTAAAGGTTCTTCTTCTTCTTTTGTCTTCTTACCGATACTACACTGAAGCCCTTTGTTTTTCTGTATTTACTGCATTAAATAATTCACTGGCGCTTCCGCATAATGGATGATGATGAAAACAAGAAGTTGTCGTTCGATGAGTTCTCCAAGGGCATCCGTGAAGTCGGCGTGGTTCTACAGAAAGAGCAGGAGCAGGAGCTGTTCAAACTCTTTGACCGAAACGGCGAAGGGACTGTGGACTTTGATGAGTTCATTAGAGCAGTTCAGGTTTGTGCCATGTAGCGATAATTGCAGATTGTAATTACAGTTTTCTGTCTATCTGTGTCTGTCTCTCTATCTGTATTTGTCTGTCTATCTGTGTCTGTCTGTTAATTTTTGCGAAAACTTATATACCTAGACCCGATTTAGAAAGAAAGGTTATGGAATGTGTCGCGTCACTTAGACTAAGCTCTACGTAGAAACAAAAAATAAGATGCCACGGCAAAGGCCAAAGCAAGATGTTCATGTCAATCTGATTCTTGGTAGACGAGCAGACTAGCACACGGATGAACACCTTGCACCGGCAAATGCACGAGGTTAAAAGTTTAAACAAGTTTTAAAGGTAGGACGATCGATTTCATTGCACCACAATTAGTTCACATAGTTCAGACTTTCCGCAGAACGGGTAAATGTCGACAGCGTCGCACAGAACACAGACTGCGTATCTTCAGCGACGATCCCCCAATGATCATCGTAAAAACTGCCCCCTTCATCTGAATGATGCAGATCGTCAGACCACGACCTTCAGAGTGCGATGCAAACGGTTAGACTACTCCGGCATAACGACATCCTCCATGAGTCAAGGAACTGGCATTGGTCTTGTGGACAAGAAAAAAGTAGACCACCGAATAAGTAGACATAAACTGGTAGACAAGGGAACGGGTAGAAAAGGAACTGGTAGACAAGGGAACAGGTGAAAAAGGAACTGGTAGAAAAGGGAACTGCTAGAAAGGGAACTGGTAGAAAGGGAACAGGTAGAAAGGGAACTGGTAGACAAGGGAACTGGTAGAAAGGGAACTGGTAGACAAGGGAACTGGTAGAAAAGGAACTGGTAGAAAGGGAACTGGTAGAAAAGGGAAATGGTAGACAAGGAATCAGGTACAAAGGGAACAGGTAGAAAGGGAACTGGTAGACAAGGGAACAGGTAGAAAGGGAACAGGTTGAAAGGGAACTTGTAGAAAGGGAACAGGTTGAAAGGGAACTGGTAGAAAGGGAACTGGTAGACAAGGGCACTGGTAGAAAGGGAACAGGTAGAAAGGGAACTGGTAGAAAGGGGACAGGTAGAAAGGGAACTGGTAAACAAGGGAACAGGTAGAAAGGGAACTGGTAGAAAAGGAACTGGTAGACAAGGGAACAGGTAGAAAGAGAACTGGTAGACAGGGGAATTGGTAGAAAGGGAACTGGTAGAAAGGGAACTGGTAGAAAGGGAACTGGTAGAAAGGTGAACTTGTAGACAAGGGAACAGGTAGAAAGGGAACTGGTAGAAAAGGGAACAGGTAGAAAAGGAACTGGTAGACAAGGGAACAGGAAGAAAGGGAACTGGTAGACAAGGGAACTGTTAGAAAGGGAACAGGTAGAAAGGGAACTGGTAGAAAAGTAACTGGTAGACAAGGGAACAGGTAGAAAGGGAACTGGTAGACAAGGGAACCGGTAGAAAAGGAACTAGTAGACAAGGAAACAGGTAGAAAAGGAACTTGTAGACAAGGGAACAGGTAGAAAGGGAACTGGTAGACAAGGGAACTGTTAGAAAGGGAACAGGTAGAAAGGGAACTGGTAGAAAAGGAACTGTAGACAAGGAAACAGGTAGAGAGGGAACTGGTAGACAAGGGAACCGGTAGAAAAGGAACTAGTAGACAAGGAAACAGGTAGAAAAGGAACTGGTAGACAAGGGAACAGATAGAAAGGGAACTGGTAGAAAGGGAACTGGTAGACAAGGGAACAGGTAGAAATTGAACTGGTAGACAAGGGAACAGGTAGAATGGGAACTGGTAGACAAGGGAACAGGTAGAAAGGGAACTGGTAGACAAGGGAACAGGTAGAAAAGGAACTGGTAGACAAGGGAACTGGTAGAAAAGGAACTGGTAGACAAGGGAACTGGTAGAAAAAGAACTGGTAGACAAGGGAGCAGGTAGAAAAGGAACTGGTAGACAAGGGAACAGGTAGAAAAGGAACTGGTAGACAAGGGAACAGGTAGAAAAGGAACTGGTAGACAAGGGAACAGGTAGAAAAGGAACTGGTAGACAAGGGAACAGGTAGAAAAGGAACTGGTAGACAAGAGAGCCGTAGACAAGCAATTGGTAGACAAGAAACCTGTAGACTGATTCTACGTGGAGTAAGAGGAGAACACGGACAATAATGAAGACCTACAGGAGGAGACGGTGGGCGGTGCATGTGACACTGTCAGGTAATGTTGACTGTTGAAGAAGTGGGTGGACGCCATGTGACACTGTCAGGTAATGTTGACTGTTGAAGAGGTGGGTGGACGCCATGTGACACTGCGAAGCGTATGTTTCATACCACAACATGGTTTATTCGCTTCACCAGTGCAGTTTTTACAGTGATCAATAGGAATCATCGTTGGGGCTATGGGTTTCGTGCTTTTGTGCCATGCTTCTAACAGGAATCTAGAGAGAGAGAGAGAGAGAGAGAGAGAGAGAGAGAGAGAGAGAGAGATAGCGAGAGAGAGAGAGAGAAAGAGAAGTATGTATGGGATAAACCCCTGTGTAATGAAGTTGATAATTTCACTTTTAACCTTTATAGAAAGCCTTTTCCCTTGTGTATTTCACAAATGCATCATTACACTCAAGGGAAAGGCGAGACAGATATGCAGTTACCTACCGGTACCATCAGAATTAGAACTCTTCGCTTGCTGCTGAAGATGGGGATGGGACGCTTATGGGAGTGTCCCGAGTGATATAATGTCGATTCCTAATTTAATATTCAACAATTACAAGCAACAGTATCTTGTAATGCGACTTGGAAAGACTTCCTGTCACAGATAATTATTTTCACTCACTGACTTCCTTCTGTGTTTCTCCCTCCGGGCTCCTTCCTAAAAGTATGATCGCTAAGAGATTAAAATATCTCAGTCTGGATGGCAAGCCAATCGCCTAAATTCCGGATACCCAGTTGAACGTCCAAAGAAGTTATAAAAGGAACAGTCGTAACGGTTACAACAGTCAGGTGTGACCTGGAGTTATGTGTTGGGAAGAATGCTTCTCTCTGACTGTTGGAGGGAGAGCACTATGGCTTAGCATGCTGCTGCGATTGGTGATAATGATGATGATGATGATGATGATGATGATGACGATGATGATAAGGAAGATCATGATGATTATGATTATGATGTGTCCTGGAAGCCGTGTATCAAGAATTATATATATATATATATATATATATATATATATATATATATATATATATATATATATATATATATATATTATATAGAGAGAGAGAGAGAGAGAGAGAGAGAGAGAGAGAGAGATTTGACAAAATAAAAATACAGCTGTTTCATAGACAATGTCATGTCTCGTAAGCTTTATTACTTTATCTTTATGGGCCGCCATGTGGTTAAGGAAGTACGTGTAATAGTGGGCAAGGTTCCAGAAGACAAAGCGGCATCGACTGAAGCCTCGGCGATTGGCACAGAACAAAACACAGCACACACAGACATATTCATCTATATAACATACACCCATGAACACGTACGCATGCATACATACATAAACACACACATATATATATATATATTTAAATATAACACCCCCTTCTCACCCAGACACACATACAGACACGCACGCACATACACACACACACACATATACACACACTCGCACTCAGGCACGCACGCACATACACACACATTAACTTCCTAGCGACATTAAACGGAATTAAATATTTGCTAGCTTCGCGTCGATCCCATAACACTGTCCCAACATGGCCACTACAACAAGGTCGCCAAGCCACAGGCGAACAGGGATCCTTTCTCCCTATCTGTCTGTTACTGGCTGTGACCGATCCGACTGGTTGAACCGGGACAGTCGGTAGTTACACTATGAACTATGAATGCGAACAATCGCCATTAGATTTTTGTTTGTTTAAATCTATACAAGCGTCGTCCGTGGCTTAGGCGTTGCGAGTCCGACTCGTGATTCAAACGTACCGCGATCGAAACCCACTGCTGGCTGCGGGTATTTTATCATGGTATGGGGCGTCGCAGGTCGACCCAGCATAAAATGGGTACCAGGATGTATGTCCTGTGGGAAGTAAAAAACGGCTGGCGTAATGCTGACCACATTACCCACCTGGTGCTGATTGGTCTGTAAAGGATGCTCTTCCCATATGCCCGATTCGCCTACAGGCTTGAAAAGGGATCTTTACTTTACTTTTACTAAATCTATTTAAAAACTACTGCATTAAAAAATGTTTAAATTTACTATATTATTCGCGGAGACACCAGATAACTTCAATTATTCGGTTCAACGTTAATATTGATTAATTGATTGTTTATGGTTACATGTGACAGGGAAATATTTCTTTCACTGATATAGTCTGTCTCATTTCACGCCAGTCAAAGTGTCATTGCGGTTATTGGGAGTCGTTATTTACTGGTCTGTAGGAAGTTAGTTTCATGTTTCAGAGAGAATGTGTGTGTATGAGAGAGAGAGAGAGAGAGAGAGAGAGAGAGAGAGAGAGAGAGAGAGAGAGAGAGAGAGAGAGAGAGTAGACGATATTCTTGTTTCACAATGAAAGCCCTTTTTCTATTGTATAAACCTGTTACTTTTATCACACTGATAAGTTTTTTTATACAGTATTCTGTGAAGGTGAGTGTTAACCAACAATTTGTCAAAGGTACTCGGAAACTTCGCATAATATTATCTACACGAGGATAAATTATACAGGGCGACGTGCCACATTTAGGTGTATTTTATCTGAATATAATTAAAATGTAATTTTCTTTTAATATTTTTTTTTATAATTTCCCTAAAAGCTTTTGAAGTTTTAATTTAGAGCAATTCAGGAGATTATATAATTTCAGCGATCTTGCAAGCTTCACTGGGAAGGTCACGGGTAGTGAGCATACTTTGGTTATTTTTTCCAGCAATGCCGGCGTAGTAGGTAATGAACAGGCAGACAGACTGGCTGGATCTGCACCACTGGTTGGGAACAAGCAACGGAATCCGTAGAGAAGGAAGATTATTATGGTCTGGAGAGAATGAGGCACCTGGGTATAACCAGAGGGTCTGGCCGGCTCACTGCACTCAGAGGAAAGGCAAGGACATATAACCAGATTGTGACCGGTACCATCAATATTGGAACTCTGCACTGGCTGCTGATGATGAGGACGGAGCACGCACTCAGAGGAAAGGCAAGGACATATAACCAGATTGTGACCGGTACCATCAATATTGGAACTCTGCACTGGCTGCTGATGATGAGGACGGAGCACGCATGGGAATGTCCCGAGTGCTGTGATGTCAATTCTTTACTCGACTCAACTCAATTCAGCGATCTTGCATATTTCTTTCTTTTTTTTTTTTTTAATCAAACGACAATGCATTACTAGTATCCGTAAATTTAAAAAGTGTATATATTTTAAAGTTTCCTGAAATTAGCTGGGGTAATTTAAAACGATAGGGGCCTCATGCTTTTATATAGCTTAGGACCTCACTTAGTCTAAATCCGGCCCTACGGAGCCACATCTAGTGTTTCGACATGAGAATTAAGACCCACTTGTACAGCCCCTCTTCTTGTGACTCGATTAGACCCCCGCATTCATTCAATCACACGCATTCATTCTTTCACTACTATATATTTGATGCGTTAGTTGATTCTGTCCGAACTATTTGTTTATTAAAACTGACTAACGGTGGGTCTACAGGAGTTAAAGTAATGAGCCCCCTACTAACATCAGGAGATAATCTACAATCTTTGGTTATGTCATGAGAAGGAGAAAATTCGATTACTTCGTAAAGGTGGAAATGTTAGATGAGAAATGGAACAGATGGAAACCGAGAGAGAAGATCCTAGACAGTTTGTCATGACATGGAACATCATCTGTATCAGTAGTGACTGAATGTATACGAGACAGAAGGTTGTGGAAAGGCCTGACTACCAACGCTACACGGCAGGGACTTTTTAAAAGAAGAAGAAGAAAAAGTAGAAGAAGAAGAAGAAGAAGAAGAAGAAGAAGAAGAAGAAGAAGAAGAAGAAGAAGAAGAAGAAGAAGAAGAAGAAGAAGAAGAAGAAGAAGAAGAAGAAGAAGAAGAAGAAGAAGAAGAAGAAGAAAGAAGAAGAAGAAGAAGAAGAAGAAGAAGAAGAAGAAGAAGAAGAAGAAGAAGAAGAAGAAGAAGAAGAAGAAGAAGAAGAAGAAGAAGAAGAAGAAGAAGAGGAGGAGGAGGAAGAATGACCATATTGAACAGATATCTTAACAAACAATTGGATAAGAATAGTTCATTTAAAACTAGCTGAACAAACTACAGGTTTAACGTATTTTTTTTTTCACTTGTAACATCTGCCAGAGAAAGCAGGAAAACCACCAAAAATCATGAACTAAAATGGGATCAGTTCAAAATGAATGAGTGAGGAAATCAGAGAAATATTTGGACGAATACCTTTATCGATGCAATATGTCCGAATGTGGAGACCTGATGGGCACATTCTGAGAGGAAATGAGCAACGAATCACAAATCAAGCACTGGATGTTAAATTAAGAATCGACATCACAGAACTCGGGACACTCCCATAAGCGCTCTAGCCCCATTTTTAGCAGCAAGCGAAGAGCTCCAATTCCGATGGCACTAGAAGCCGTCTGATTGATTTTTCTGTGTCATCCTTTACCTGAGCGTTGAGCGTCGGCCATATCCCCTGGTAACTACTCGCAGCGCCATTCTCTTCAGACCGTAATAATAAATCTGCGCCTCCGCACTGTTCACCCGTCCCCAAAGGGCCCTTACAATATCTAGCTTGTCATACATTAGTTCACCACCAAGTGGTGCAGAGCCGGCCAGTCTATCTGCCTGCTCATTTCCCAGCACACCGACATACCTGGAGAAACTATCCAAAAGATGCTAACTACCCGGGACCTCTGAAGTGATGCTTGCCACTCTGCACGAAGCATGCCTGTCTTCACCTTTTTCAAAATGCTCTGTGAGTCAGTTATAATCACGGCCGGTGTGTACAAGCACTGAAATGGGTGAAAAGAACAGTCTGAGAGCGCAAGAGGACGTCCAAGGGAAACACAAAGAAGAACATTATTACGACAAGCAAAAAAATTCTGGACTAAACATGTCAGAAATGAAAAAAGTTGCATGTAGTAGAGCGGAGTGGAGGAATCGAATACGAGCTCTATGTTACGTCTAATAGCACACAAAGAATTGTGACGCTGTTGAACACACATTTGCTGTCAACAAGGCTCGGAATACCATTTCTTATGCGGCGATATTGATCAACAGGGTGGTAAGTTGTTGTTACTAAATGATTTAATCAGCTTTTTATCTCTCAACCATGTAAAAGAATCATCCAAACATAATTGGTCTAATTAAAAGAATCACCCGTCAGTTATATCTAACGATTCTTCGTGACCTGGTCCAGGTGATGGAGCTGTTACTGTCGAAGACCTTACAAAGACATACAATGTGAAGAAACATCCCAAGTACATCAGTGGAGACTGGTCTGAAGCCAAAGTCTACCAAGAATTCTTGAAGACATTCGAAGTAGATGGCCACACAGATGGTATTGTGAGTATCTTGGTGATTACAGGTTTTCACTAGGGGAAGAGGAGTTGAACCTACTAACTTCCGCCGTAGAAAGTATGTTGTACATTGTCACTATTTAGGGTCGTTTCCTTGGAAGTCGAGGGGCCCCTACATAGGAACGAATAGATTGGCATAAATCTGTAAAATGGACATGCATGCAAAACTCAAGTTCTGTGATAAGACCAAGGACCAGAATTGGACAAGCAGTCAAAACTTTCCGCCCGGTTAATAACCGGTGAATGCTGAAAACGAAATCAATATGTAAAAGATATGTTAGGATACTACGAAGAAACAACGAACGAAAGTATACCTTTAAAAGATTGTGTGTGTATATGTATGTATGTATGTGTATGTATTATGTATGTAGGTTATGTCTGTATGTATGTATGTATGCCTGTATGTATGCCTATATGTAAGTGTGTGTGCGCGCGCGTGTGTGTGTGTGTGAGGTATGTGTGTGTGTGTGTGTGTGTAGTTTTGTGGTGAGACTGACTGTGAAGTCTTTGTGTGTGTGTATGTATGTGTGCCTGAGTGAACAAGTGGGCGTATGTTTGTATGTATGTTTATATATATATAGGTGGCTGTTATGTCATGAAATAGACATCAATAGCTGGGGAAATGCGTGTACGGTGTGTGAAGTGTTTGGACAGTACAAACTTCTAGACTCAGGTAGACTTACTACTGTACAATCATCATCAGGTAACACTGGATGAATTCATGGCCTATTACGCGGCCATCAGTTGCAGTATCGACAGTGATGCCTACTTCGATCTTATGATGCGCAACAGTTGGGGAGCAGACCTGGCTGCCTGATCTGGTAAGGTCGTCCTGAAATTGTTGCATCCTCTCAGTTGTCTATGTCTGAACGAACTGTATGGTTAATCAGTAAATCGTAACACAATGAAGCTTACCTACTTCAAAACTTGAGACACTTATAAATGTGCACATCAAGCAGCAGGTATAATTTCGTCAAGCAGTCTTACTGGCACATTGACCGAGTAGCCTGGAGACGTCTACTGGGTCCAGTTCTGGTGGGTACTTTATTGCACAATTATAGGAACAATGTTTTTTTGGACATAGATAGCTTAATTTGCTACCGAGATTATGAGGACGATATGCTAGTCATTGACATACAAACACACATAAACAAGCTGAATCAATAAATTATCAGAGGAACCAATCCAACACAAGACATGTGATAGGACAATTCTCTATGAAGCAGAAACTTGGAAAACAAACAGAAAGCATGCACAGAGAATTTGAGGTAAGACTTCACAGACGATTGTTGGGGTTCACACAGGAAGATAAAAATCATCAGTTCTAGATCACAACAAATGACAGACTAAGAAGATGTAAATTTAGAAATAAAAAAAGGAAGGTGGACTGGACACGTCTTCAGAATGAAGAGAGATAGGCAATGCAATGGACACAACAAAGACAAAGAGAAAGAGGCAGGTCCAGAGGCACTTGAAGGTGAACATTTGAGGCTGAACTCAGAGCTACGCGAAGGACACAACTAGAGATAGAGAGTAGGGCTCAGGACCGAAGTGAGTGGCGACGCTTGTCCCTGCCTTATGTGCCTCTGGGCGTGATGAGGATTATTTGATTTGAACAACGCATACACGAACCTTTTGTTTGTCTTTGCAATAAGATAACAAACAACATCTCAGCCTTTTTAGAAATTGTAATCAGAAAATGTTGGATTTTCGATGGCAAGATTGATTTTAAGTACATTATGTGATATTATTTAAATTATATTTTTTCTTCAGCATTCCGAGCCCTTGAGGCTCATCCTTGATCCCTCTTTCTCATAGACGTTCTTTATCCAGTTGGTGATTCCTAGTGTTTGTATATCTGTTTGTTCTGCTTTGTGATCTACTGCCAGTCAACACTTTGTGTACGTCACTCTCACATTTGCATTCTCTCTATGTATCTCAACAATCTAAGCCCTCGTGGTGCCAGTGATTAGTAGTGATTTCAACAGACGATTCAGCTCGTTGTTGCTTCTTATTCTCCATTCTCTGCTGTTTGCATTTTTATAAATCCAAAGATGAACTATATGACTGTTTTCAGACACTGGTAGTAAAAGTTTTATTTCCTTTAATTATACTCCAGGTTACGAAGCCATATAAAACAAACTGAATTATTGGTGTTTTGGACATTGTGAGTTTGGTATTGTCAAACAAAGCCCCAGAAAGATATAAAATTCATTTCTAGTCAAGTTGTGAGGACAGCAAACTGAAACTTTTGACAACTGGAAAGATTTATGAGGCGGGAGAGCTGGCGAGAGACCCAGTTTTTTTTCAGGCAGACTGTGATGAGAGCGACGTTCTGCAAAGGACCTGCTACATGATGATGATGATGATGACTAGGTATGTTGTGTGTGTGAGCATGTGTGCCAATATATGACAATGTAGTATAAGCACCAGAAAGATATAAACTTCATTTCTGGTCAAGTTGTGAGGACAGCAAACTGAAACTTTTGACAACTGGAAAGATTTATGAAAACAGAGATAGAGGAACACAAGGCTAGAAGAATCTCGGCAGCCTTTTGTCATGACGTGGAAGAGTATCAGCAGACAAATGGGTCTTCGTGTTTGCCAGTAAACACCAGCGGAAAGTTCTGGTTGTTTGTCCACCTCTGGACTTTTTTGTTCCCGAACATGATGTAGCGTGCACATCCGTTTGACAGATCTGGCTTATATGCCTCAGGCGATGCTCTCCGACCTCAAAGGAAGCTCCACAAAAGTTAGTTAGTTGCGTATCCTTTACAGGACGTTGCAGAACCAACCCTAACAGCCCCTGGCTGTTGTGTGGTTTCTCTTGGCAAATTTACGTCCAGTAGTTTGCCATTGCTTCTGGACGGTCGGCTTTCTTGATACCACTGTCGAAACCAACGCAAGGCGCATTGCCCGCAACTGGGATCGAACCCGGCATCCCGGCATTTCGAAGCGAAGCGTTCGCATCGACTTAGTTACAGAGCCGAATCCACAATAGTAGACTCTTATAAAGGCAGTAGCCCCAAAACCCACATGATGAAACTGACAAACTGACCAATGCTGTTGGAAATGGCTAACAATATTTAGCACGATCAACCACACAATTTGCTAAGGTACTCAATGATCACGTGCATGCAAGTGTCAAGGTATACAATGACATTTACAATGTGAACACACTCTCGTTTCAGGATGAGGTGAAGTGCCATCTCCGTGCCCAGAATCAGCTGTCCCGTAGTTTATCAATATTTGTTGATCTCTTTTTCTATTGCAGCCATACGTGTTCCTACTTACAAACTTTCATATTGACATTACCACATTCTAAGAATATGTTTTTTTATGTCATGTGTGTTATCTGTCTGGTTGTAACTGTCTGTTTCTTGACTTAGTTCTATTTGTCCTCTTCGTTTATTTGATCCAGAGAATGTTGTTTTAACTGTCTGTTTCTTTAGTTCGTTCTATATGTCCTCTGTTTATTTGATCCAAAGAATGTTGTTTTAACTGTCTGTATCTTTAGTTAATTCCATTTGTCTATGTTTATTTTATTCAAAGCTTGTTGTTTTAACTGTCTGTTTCTTTAGTTAGTTCTATGTGTCCTCTGTGTTTATTTGATCCACAGAATGTTGTTTTAACTGTCTGTATCTTTAGTTAATTCTATTTGTCCTCTTATGTTTATTTGATCCAGAGAATGTTGTTTTAACTGTCTGTTTCATTAGTTCGTTCTATATGTCCTCTGTTTATCCGATCCAAAGAATGTTGTTTTAACTGTCTGTATCATAAGTTAGTTCTATTTGTCCTCTATGTTTACTTGATTCAAAGAATGTTGTTTTAACTATTTAAATCATTATATTCATTATAAAACAAATAGATAATGTACTGATTAGCACTCATAGAAAGAAGTAAAAGAAAGAAGGACACATTACACAACATAAAAATCTAAAGCTATAATTACCATGTCTTCATTTACTTATTAAAAATGTGACGCTTTGTTTTCTCTAACAAATCAAATTTTGTTTTAAAGTATTTTTTGTTTGTTCAATTCATAGATACTTTTTTGTTTAAAAATCGCAGTTACTGCCTATTTTTTGTTTGTTCAATTCATAGATACTTTTTTGTTTAAAAATCGCAGTTACTGCCTATTTTTTGTTTGTTCAATTCATAGATACTTTTTTGTTTAAAAATCGCAGTTACTGCCTATTTTTTGTTTGTTCAATTCATAGATACTTTTTTGTTTAAAAATCGCAGTTACTGCCTATTTTTTGTTTGTTCAATTCATAGATACTTTTTTGTTTAAAAATCGCAGTTACTGCCTATTTTTTGTTTGTTCAATTCATAGATACTTTTTTGTTTAAAAATCGCAGTTACTGCCTATTTTTTGTTTGTTCAATTCATAGATACTTTTTTGTTTAAAAATCGCAGTTACTGCCTTCAATTATTACTTGCGGTGTAGGGGGAAAGGGGTGGGGGTCTTTTCTGGTCATCTGTTTACTGTATGTAAAACACATATTTTTTTCCCATGTGTGCTTTTTAATTATTCCATGAATGTGCTTTTAACTCTTTAAAGTTGTATCGCCAGTATACTGGCGAATAAATTTATCCCAAATTTTGTTCCGTTTGTGGGGAAAACAAACTTTTATGAAAAAGTTTTTCAATAATTAGGACAGGAAGTCCTTTTGTTTTCGAAGTTCATCGTGGTCAGTGCATTATTTTCTGATTTTAAAAAAAATTATTTAGATGGGATACAATTTTCAATTTTACTAAATGATAAGGAAAAAGGTCTAGAACTGATCATACTGCTCTGTTGTTGATGAATCTCCGCCAGATGGTGACACCAGTCTCGATATTATAATTGATATCTAAGTGGCAAACCTTTTGGCGATAATTTAGTTTAGGATACGAAAAATTACACAAAATATTTCATTCGGATCAATGTTTCGATCAGCTGTTTTCCAGATTTTGGGTTGTTGTTAAAGTTGACATTTCACACAAAAATTATCATAACATCCAAAGTATTTCAATTAATTGTTTCAAATAAAGACTAGCTAATACATAATTGAACAGAGACGGCATGTACATTCTTAGAATCGGACAGCAGTGTTGCTGAACAATAAAAAAGTAGGGTAAGCAAAAAATTCTTTATGTCAATAATCTTCATTTGTGTCTAACATCCTTGAATGTTGTGTGATTTTAATAATATTTTGTTGTAATACTGACATTTAAATAGTTTAGATTTATTCTGCACTCATTTATCTTTAATTTGATCTATTATATGTCCCACTACAGTCAATAGTTTTTCTTCAGGAAGGTTCTAGCTTTGTCATGTTGCAGTAAAAAAATTTGGCTCAAAATTATTGCTGTCCAAACCCCAGAAAAAAATGTGGTCCTGAAAGAGTTCAACTGTGAAGCTTTGTTTTCTCTAACAAATTAAATTGTATTATTTAAGTATTTGTTTGTTTTTTAAATTCATAGATATTTCTTTGTTTAAAAAATTGCAATTACTGCCTGTAATTATCACTTGCGTTGTGGGGGGGGGGGGAGGCGGGTGGAAAAAAAGGGGGGTGTCTGAGTCTGGTTGTCTGTTTACTTTCTGTAAAACACATATTTGTTCTCAGGTGTGTTTTTGAATTGTTCCATGAATGAGCTTAATAAACCAAATCTAGAACTATGGGTTCAAACAGAATGGTTGGAGTCTCTGAAGAAATCTGGTCTGACAGGACACTCTGAGGTCAGAGTTCCATGAATGAGTGGACAGACAGGCTTGCTGGCAGAGCCGCATTAGGCACAGGAAAAGCAATGCAGGTGGCCTATGTTCCCAATGCTCTCAAGTAGCCAGGAGAGGTAGCTGATCCAGAAGACAAGAGTGAATCTGCAATCTCAACAAAAATACAAGAACATCAGCTCAAAAGAGAGGCTGTGTGATTTAGTGCTTCATTCTGGGAGTCAAGAGAACAGACCCAGTGCCTCCCTAACAAGCATGACATAAAAGGCAACTAATAAGGGATGTGTCCTCTGAAGTTAGGGCACAACATCTGCCTGAGCAGCAAGGAACCAACAGTCTGCAATAAGTCAGATCTGTGAAACAGATGCACATGCAAAATTCAAGTTCTTGAACAAGACTGAAGTCTAGCAGTGGACAAACAACCAGAACTTTGCGCTGGAGCTAATGCTAAGCAGATAAGAAGAGATGAAAACTTTACAGGTAGCCAAAGAAAAATAGTAAACCAACACAGAACTGGTGTTATCAGTCACCATACACTGCGGGAGATGCTTAACATGGGAGTAGAGGATGCCCTGGTACAAACTGTCACACAAAGAATCATGCTGAAGACATAAAATAGACAAAGAGCAAAGAGGATGACTGTAAAAAACATGGAATGATAGCATCATGAACAGACTTATCAGAGAAAATAAAAAGTCTCTTCAGTAACTTTAAAAAAAAACATTTTTAAAAAAACCAGAAGATCTCTACATTTCACTTGAACATTAGGATGAAGTGACTGGTAGATGAGAACAAGTGAAAAGAAAAATCCACTTCAACAACACTGAACACATTCACACACACACAAAACACACAAGATCTACATATTTCACTTGAACATTTGGATGAGGTGACTGGTAGATGAGAACAAGTGAAAAGACAGTCAAAGAAATACTGAGCCAAAAAAATTTATTCATGAAAATACACAAACAAAGTAAGGCCCCCATCTGAGTAAAGTTTAAAAAGAAAACAACAGCCAAAGATAATTGTTACTATTCCTACAAACGAACAACCCCAACAACCCCTCAGCTTCAAATTCTAGTTTTGAATGACTTAGCCATCTGTGGTCCAGTTTTAGACGCAGCCATCTGTGGTCCAGTTTTAGATGCAGCCATCTGTGGTCCAGTTTTAGACGCAGCTATCTGTGGTCCAGTTTTAGGTGCAGCCATCTGTGGTCCAGTTTTAGACGCAGCCATCTGTGGTCCAGTTTTAGACGCAGCCATCTGTGGTCCAGTTTTAGACGCAGCCATCTGTGGTCCAGTTTTAGATGCAGCCATCTGTGGTCCAGTTTTAGATGCCAATCCAAATCTTTCCTACAATCTTGTGCCATAACAAACATGTGGGCTGACTCACTGCTGATGTTTCCCTCGACAGATATCAAATAGTATGCCATCAATGACATCGCACAACTCCTTCTCAACAATAACAAGTTTGAATCCTGCCTAATGGTAGGCATTTATAGATATTCTTTCCTTCTATACATCTTTCCTTGGGGAGCTTCAGTGGTGTAGTGGCTAGTGTACCCATCCGTGGACATGCAGGTTATGGGAACAGTATGATATATGTCTGACTGAATGGTTTCAGGGTCGCTGGGGTCGTTCTTCTTTTGTGATGACTGTCCAGGTTTGTAGACCCAGGGTCGTGGACTACTGAGTTTAACCTCTCTAAAGATGGGATTTACATGAGACAGAAAGACCCTGGAGCTATGCTGATCCCCCTCAAGTACCAACTCACTTATTTGACCACAAGGTTAACCCAGACTCATGAAATGAGCACCAACAGACCACTGGCATGTTCAAAGCTAACAATTCTACTTTCTTTCACATGCATACATTACTTCATTTAACAAGTCAATCTCGAAAAGTCTTATAAAAACAAGCAAACAATCACGGAGAGAGTAGGAAAGAATCTACTTTCACAGATATGTAGTACTCTGCACGAATGTCTGAACCTTCATTCAACATCATCTTGACATCATTTATAGACAACTGCTCTCACCACAGCCCAACTCAAAGAAAGACTCTTGCCAACTCTCCCACTTCATGCACTTTCCTACCCAAGATGTCTTTTATATCCTTTACCCATCTTCATGCTGGTTGGTCCCTGCTCCTCTTAAATCAAAATTAAAAACTATTATTATCAGACATCTGTATAAACAAGAAAATCTGGATCACAACACGCTCATTTCATTCTCCTTTAGTCGCAAAGAAATATAATATTTTTCCATGTATAAGACAATATATTGTCCTTTTTTTTTTAAATATTTATTTCAAATTTTTGGGCGAAAGCAAAAATTAAATTGAGGTCGTCTTATGCATGGGGGTGTCTAAGACACAGAACAATATGATATATTCTCCTTAAAGAAATATTCATTAGACATGTTTTACACTGGACACAAAAGTCAAAACTGGAGTTTAACAACAAATCAACAGACATGTTTTCATGTTTGACAACAGACACACAAGCTAACAACTCTATGATTGTCTCTGCTCCTGGTCAAGTGTTGGTGGCTGCTCCAGGACCGTGTCTATGAGACCAAAGTCCAGAGCTTCCTGTGGGCTCATGAATCTGTCCCTCTCCATGCTCTTTTCTGAAACACAGATTCATGCAACAAATCCATGTCAATGGTTGTTAGGAAGTTCTCAAGGCTGTATACAGCCAGTTTCAACATATGGCTGTGAATCCTAAACAGTTTAATTAACAAGCCAGACAGTTTTTCCAGGCCTCAGAAATCTGGTTTTACGGAAGTATCCGTAGAATTTCTTGGACGGCTAAGAAGTAACCCAGATTTTGTAAAAGAAGCAAGGGCTCGAAGAAAACTTATTACTAACACAATGCAAGGGCTCGAAGATAACTTATTACAAACACCAGAAAGAGACAGTCATAAACTGTTAGTCATTTTATGAGGAGGAAACTAGAAAATGTTGTGACCACTGGAAACATCGATGGATAGAGAGTCAGACAAAGACAATGAAAGATGTGTCTTGACAGTCTTTTGGCAAGGCATGGAGGGGTGTCAACTTATGAACTGAGACACCAAGGTTGTAGATCGCAGTGTCAAGAGGATAATTGCCCTTGCCACTCGGCAAGGCACTTGATGATGATACGTACACGCACTGCACATTCATTTGTAATCATAATTTGTAAGCTTCCTTGTTGGCAAAGTGCAAGTGCACTTATATACCAATTGTCGTCATTATTAAGACATCCAAGCATAACTATGACTGCAAAGTTGGACACTATCTAAAGTTCATAAACGCAAAATCACCAGCTGCCAAATGAGATGCCTGAGAAAAGCAGCCAACTTAACCATTCGAGATCGAGTGATTAATGATACTATTAAACAAATTGTGGGAATGACAACCTTGTTCTAGATTCATCGAGAAATAGCAGATCAAGTGGTTTGGCTATCTCGTTAAAATGCAGCAAGATCAAATACCATCACAAGCACTATATCTCAGAAGATCAGTTACAAGAGCAAGAGGACGGCCGTGGAAAAAATGGATCGACAACATTAAAGACACTCTACGCCTTCACGGCATGACAGTTGCCAGTGGCAGCCAGCGTGATGTGGATAGCAAATTATTCCTCCCCACACCGCCTAACGGCAGAAGTGGTTTATGATGATGATGGTAAATATGTAAGCTGTAGCACTGTGTACTACTTGTATGTAAGCACGGTGAGGTCATTATGAACTAATCAGCAACATTTTATTGTAATTATACGACCCTATTCATGCCACTGATGTTACCTGTGGGTTGAGGGGCTCCAATTTGGAAAAAAAAGAACAGGTGCACCCAGCCCCAGATTACACACAGGCAAATCTTGTTTTAAGTTGCCTGGGTTGGTGAGTACCCTACTTTCTTGGTACTCTCACTAACTGCAAAGGACATGGCAATTCTGTCTACTTATCCTGACTATGTCTAAATGCTGACTCCACAGTATTATAGCAAATACATTATTAGAGCTTTTAGTAGGTCTGAACAAGTGTATCTTAAGTTCACCTTCTTCTTCTCTTCCTCCAGTTAATTAAATGAACTATTAGAGATAAGTTAAAACAAACATATTAACAACTTCTAGATTTGAAATCATCAGTTAAATATCAGCTGGCCAACTTTATGATACAAGTATCAAACATGGACCCCGACTAAATCTAATGCGTGTGAAATGGTAACAACAGATGAGGTGAAAAGGAAGAGATGCTGGAGAAACAAGAGATACAATTTAAGATTCAGACACTAGGAGAAGACCACAACTTAAACCAGTCATACAGTTTACTAAAGAGCAACAGATGAAATGGTTTGGTCAACTGACAAGATTACTCTGGGACCAACTGCCGCAGAAAGACATGCCAAAGAAATATAATGGAACAACAGCATCAAGAACAGTCTTAAAAAGCACACAGAGGATCCTTAAATCTCCCTCCAACATTTTGATGAAGTAACCAGAGGAAGTTAAATAGAAAATATCTCAGCAATATTTTCCGCAGAGAGACCAGAAATGCTTTCTAAAAGAAACATACATAGCAAATCTGAACATCAAGAACGATCTGTTACTTAACAGCATCTTGCCTTGGACAGCGAAATTCTTCTTCTTTTCTTAATATCTGCTTATGCTGCAAGGCATCGCACTTCATCAGCCGAGCAGGATGCGCTCGGTCGCTTGATATGCCGTGATGTTATGCAGTCTTAAGGTGTTAGTGACTCCTTCAATCCATGTTCTTCTCGGTCTTCCCCTGCCTCTTGACATTTTGATTTTCAGGTTGTATGCTTTTGCTGCTGGCACCGTTGGTTTCGTTCTCATTGGATAGCCAATCCATTTCATTCTTTGTGCCTCAATAAATTTGAAGATGGGTGTTGTTCCAACAGTTCTTGTTATTACATCGTTTCTCACTTGATCTCTTCTGGTTTTATTCACGGCCATTCTCAAACATCTCATCTCACAGGGGTTAGTTTTCTCTGGTGTTCTTTTGTCAATGTCCAAGACTGTATAAATATTGTATTTATAATTTGTCTGTTTGTCTCTAATGTGATAGCAGAGTGTTTTAAAATTGGAGCAAGTTGGTATGTGACATTGTTGGCTTGTTGGATTCTCGTTTCTATCTGTCTGTCTATTTTACCATTGTTAGGTAAAGATGTTTCCCAAGTATTTAAATTCTTGCACTTGTTTCAGACTTTTATCTTTATGTCGATGGTTTGTTGCTCTCTACTTATTCTCATGACTTATGTTTTTTCAATATTGATCTCCATATGATGTTTAAGGCAACTGTTGTGTAGTTGGGTTATGTGGTCCTGTAGCTATTTACTTTTCCTGTGTAATATGCAAAAAGCAGCTCATAGAAGTAGTCCTGTTTATTGACATCTGGTGGTGGTGTGTCTATTTTATTAATACTGTCCATGAATATTATAAAAAGGTGAAAGAACACACCCTTGACTTACTCCTGATGTTACTGGGAACCAGTCCGTGAGGCCAGCTCTTGTTCTGGTGGCACTTTCCCTTTCTCTATAAATAGTTCTTACACAATCTACTTCTGTTCCACCTATACCATAGTTTTCAAGGACATCCCATAGTATATCTCTGTTCGCTCTGTGAAAAGTCTTCTCTTGATCTATAAATACAGTGTAATATTTTGGTCATGTATACCGCCACAGTTGACTTTAAAAAGTAACAGCAGAAGGCATGGTAGCAGGAAAGCGGCGCAGAGACCAACCAGCATGAGGCAGGGCACAGGGTATAAGTGACACATTGAGTAGGAAAGTACATGAGGCGGGAGAGCTGGCGAGAGAGAGAGAGTTTCTTTCAGACAAACTGTGATGACAGCGACATTCTGTAAAAGACCTGGAACAACATACCAATAGTGTCTATAGGCTGGTTGGTATGTTTCACATACAACCTGTTGATCTGTTTCTTTAGCTTGAGAATCTCCTCGGCTTGGATCTGGATGTCTGTAGCTTGGCCCTACATTCGAACATTATCGGCTCAATAAGGCATCATTTTCATAGACTGTTGTAAGTATCAATGGTATGCTATTATATACAATATATGCTAATTAATGCATTTAACAAAATAGCTTCTCTGACATACAAGAACATTTCACTGATACACAGCTACTGCAAAAACTGACATAGAGCTGCATTTCACTGACACACAACCACTGCAATAACTGACTTACATGATCATTTCACTGACACACAACCACTGCATAAACTGACATACATGAACATTTCACTGACAAACAACCACTGCAAAAACTGACATACATGAACATTTCACTGACAAACAACCACTGCAAAAACTGACATACATGAACATTTCACTGACAAACAACCACTGCAAAAACTGACATACATGAACATTTCACTGACAAACAACCACTGCAAAAACTGACATACATGAACATTTAGCTGACACAAAACCACTGCAAAAACTGACATACATGAACATTTCACTGACAAACAACCACTGCAAAAACTGACATACATGAACATTTCATTGGCACAGAACCACTGCATAAACTGACATACATGAACATTTCACTGACACACAACCTCTGCAAAAACTGACATACATGAACATTTCATCGGCACAGAACCACTGCAAAAACTGACATACATGAACAATTCACTGACAACCACTGCAAAAACAGACATACATGAACATTTTACTGACACAAAACCACTGCAAAAACTGACATACATGAACATTTCACTGACAAACAACCACTGCAAAAACTGACATACATAAACATTTCACTGACACACAACCACTGCAAAATCTGACATACATGAACATTTCACTGACACACAACCTCTACAAAAACTGACATACATGAACATTTCACTGACAACCACTGCAAAAACTGACATACATGAACATTTCACTGACAAACAACCACTGCAAAAACTGACATACATGAACATTTCACTGACACACAACCACTGCAAAAACTGACATACATGAACATTTCACTGACACACAACCTCTACAAAAACTGACATACATGAACATTTCACTGACAACCGCTGCAAAAACTGACATACATGAACATTTCACTGACAAACAACCACTGCAAAAACTTATATACATGAACATTTCACTGACACACAACCACAGCAAAAACTGACATACATGAACATTTCATTGGCACACAACCACTGCAAAAACTGACATACATGAACATTTCATTGGCACACAACCACTGCAAAAACTGACATACATGAACATTTCATTGGCACAGAACCACTGCAAAAACTGACATACATGAACATTTCATTGGCACAGAACCACTGTTACCCTCTCTGTAAATCTTGGTGAACTGATGCATGACAAGTAGATGTGGCAAGGGTCCTCTAAGACGATGGGGGAATGGGCAAGTGAACAGTGCCGAGGCACAGATAAATCATCATGGTCTGAGGAGAAAGGTGCTGTGAGGACTGACCAGGGGATCTGGCCGATGCTGAACACTCAGGGAGGCAGACATACAGTCAGAATGGTTACTGGTACCATTGCTGCTGAAGATGGGGACGAAGCACTAATGGGAATGTCCAGAGTGTGCTGTGATGTTCATTCTTAATTCTTCTTTCTTCTTCGTTGTTTACCAGGAAAAAGCTCAGATGGAAAGTTCTGGTCGTTCGCCAGCATCAGGACTTTGTGGGTTTGTGCCAGGGCCTGAGTTTTGCATGAATAACAGTCCTACTGGCTTAGTTGTGGGCAGCTGGTTGCTGCTTGACGCTCGGACAAATGCACTCCAACTTTGAAGAAAGCTCCTAATTAGCATACTCCCATAAAGATGCTTTTCCCCCAACGATTGGGCCAAGAACCCACTCGGGGACCATTTTTAATTAAACACTAAACAACAACTCTCGATGGAGACTCCTTCCCACTCCCCATCCTTTTTTCCACAATATAAAACTGGTAAACTTACAGATGCCTGGCCCGAAGGTTGATGGATCATGACTCTAGAGTTTGGAAGTGAGTGCCGCAGTCCAGGAGCTCCAGAACACAACAGAAGAGATGCCATGCTGCAAGCCTGACCAACACACCACGTGGCTATAGGAGGTTGGACATACTGCATTGTGTCGTAGATCCCCAGACCAGCGGTCACCGAACCACCTTGGAAATGGAATGTGAAGTTCAATGCATGACTCTTTTTTTTTTTTAAGCAACTGACACATGGTTGTAACCCTTTCATCCCACGAATGCTATCGTAAAAACGGCTCTAGACCCAAGAAAACTTCCTAACAAAATCAGTTTAAAAAGGGGAAGAAAAACAATTTTGATACAGAGATAACAAATTGTTATAATATGTGTTTATATACACTTTTTGACTTTTCTTTTTTTTTTAATGTATAAAGACATTTAAAGGGAGTAATCATTAAGCAAGAACAGCGAAGCATTAAATATAATTAACCCCACAGCCAAAAACAAATATGTATTAGTGACCCATACAGCGATCCCATGACCTCAATCACTTAGGCTACAGAAAATTATTTAGGTCAACCTGGCTTTAAAAAAGCTACTGATTTGCAAGTAAACCCCCTAAATGCTATTTTTGGTTTACATATGTACGTCCTGAACTCCTAAAAACAATTCAGGTGTACACAGAACTAATTGTGTTCAACTCTTCTGTTGGAGAACAGGTGACTGCATAAATGGCAACATACTTATAATTTTTGGGCTACGTCACAACCAGAAGTGACTATATTTAGCCTTCTGAGACTGACAGAGTCGCAGTTTTACAGAAGAAAAAGACAAGATTAAAAGATACCTTGAACACATTCAATCAGAAACAAATTCTTCTAGATAAAAACCACCACACTTCAAGGGGAAAAGACAATAGTAAACCTCCTTGTTTACACCAGAAACCATTTAGTTCCAGCCCACTTTTTCTTGTTTTTGTTTTGTTTTGTTCCATTGTATCCTTAACGACGGCTGGCTGCTGTGTACCTAATGTTGTTTTCGGGAATGTTACATGATGAGGCCATAATCTCTTCCGATGTGTGATTCTCGTATCACTGTCCACAAATCACAATTTTTTTTTGTTTTTAGTAATAAACCGCCCATCACGGACATCAAACCCAAGTACTCGAAGCCCATGAACTAAGCCTCTAAGCCACAGAACTGCACTAAAATTACCAACGAAGGAAGTCAAAGGTATCTACCTGGACTGTTGATGTACATGTGGATGGGCTTCTTGCTGCTTTCAGATTGTAGGAACAACAGCTGGGCCACCACAAGACTGGACAGTTCATCATGGATCTGTAACAGTACAGGCTTTGATGTACAAGACTTCACAAACATAACTACATTTCTTCAGTAATGTCTAATGCCTGCCCCAGTATGTGGGTAACAGTACAGGCTTTGATGTACAAGACTTCACAAACATAACTAACTACATGTCTTCAGTAATGTCTAATGCCTGCCCCAGGATGTGGGTAACAGTACAGGCTTTGATGTTCAAGACTTCACAAACATAACCACATGTCTTCACGAATGTCTAAGCTATGCTTGCCCCAGGATGTGGGTAACAGTACAGGCTTTGATGTACAAGACTCCACAAACATAACCACATGTCTTCAGTAATGTCTAATGCCTGCCCCAGGATGTGGGTAACAGTACAGGCTTTGATGTTCAAGACTTCACAAACATAACCACATGTCTTCATGAATGTCTAAGCTATGCTTGCCCCAGGATGTGGGTAACAGTACAGGCTTTGATGTACAAGACTCCACAAACATAAATAACCACATGTCTTCATGAATGTCTATACCATGCTTGCCCCAGGATGTGGGTAACAGTACAGGCTTTGATGTACAAGACTTCACAAACATAACTACATGTCTTCAGTAATGTCTATACCATGCTTGCTCCAGGATGTGGGTAACAGTATAGGCTTTGATGTACAAGACTTCACAAACATAACTACATGTCTTCAGTAATGTCTATACCATGCTTGCCCCAGGATGTGGGTAACAGTATAGGCTTTGATGTACAAGACTTCACAAACATAACTACATGTCTTCAGTAATGTCTATACCATGCTTGCTCCAGGATGTGGATAACAGTATAGGCTTTGATGTACAAGACTTCACAAACATAACTACTTGTCTTCAGTAATGTCTATACCATGCTTGCTCCAGGATGTGGGTAACAGTACAGGCTGTGATGTACAAGACTCCACAAACATAACCACATGTCTTCAGGAATGTCTATACCATGCTTGCTCCAGGATGTGGGTAACAGTACAGGCTTTGATGTACAAGACTCCACAAACATAACCACATGTCTTCAGTAATGTCTAAGCCATGCTTGTCCCAGGATGTGGGTAACAGTACAGGCTTTGATGTACAAGACTTCACAAACATAACCACATGTCTTCAGGAATGTCTATACCATGCTTGCTCCAGGATGTGGGTAACAGTACAGGCTTTGATGTACAAGGCTTCCCAAACATAACTACATGTCTTCAGGAATGTCTATACCATGCTTGCTCCAGGATGTGGGTAACAGTACAGGCTTTGATGTACAAGACTTCACAAACATAACCACATGTCTTCAGGAATGTCTAAGCCATGCTCGCTCCAGGATGTGGGTAACAGTACAGGCTTTGATGTTCAAGACTCCACAAACATAACCACATGTCTTCAGTAATGTCTAAGCCATGCTTGCTCCAGGATGTGGGTAACAGTACAAGACTTCACAAACATAACCACATGTCTTCAGGAATGTCAATACCATGCTTGCCCCAAGATGCCTCACACGGGTCTCAATATAAACCCCAAAAAACTTGCGCATCTTAGGCTATAGTGAATTCAAGAAAAGCCAGGTGAACAAACAATGAGTAACAAATGGACTGAAGTGAGGACATCGAGACACCCTCAAATTAATGATGGCGAGAGAAGCTAAAGATGCCTGACTGGATTCTACTCAGATCTAAAGGGCTGCAAAGGATAGAATAGAATAAAGGACTAGATGTGTGACGTATTATGGCTCAACAGAGTGATGATGATGAACTGCCCGTCATATATTAACGTTTCCACAGCAATTAAAATGTGGAAAAAGTCGGCTTCAGTGGCTACCGTTCTGGTAAAATGTTCACAATCAGAAACAAAACTTTGCTCAAAACAGAATATTCCAGGTTGGTGTGAATTTGAGTGCCTGAATGGATTTGATAAAAACTAGGTATATAATCCACAATTCACACTTTTATAAACTAGCCAGCACTCAATGGATTTGACAAAAAAACTAGGTACATAATCCTAGATTCACAACTTTATAAACTAGCCAGCACTAATGGATTTGATAAAAACTAGGTATAAAATCCCACTGTTACAACTTTATAAATTAGCCAGGACTAATGGATTTGACAAAAACTAGGTATATAATCCTAGATTCACACTTTAATAGACTAGCCAGCCCCTAATGGAACTGACAAAAACTAGGTATATAATCACAATTTTATAAACCAGCCAGCACTTCAATGATCAGACAAAAACTAGGTATATAATCACAATTTTATAAACTAGCCAGCACTTCAATGATCAGACAAAAACTAGGTACATAATCACAATTTTATAAACTAGCCAGCACTTCAATGATCAGACAAAAACTAGGTATATAATCACAATTGTATAAACCAGCCAGCACTTAAATGATCAGACAAAAACTAGGTATATAATCACAATTTTATAAACCAGCCAGCACTTCAATGATCAGACAAAAACTAGGTATATAATCACAATTGTATAAACCAGCCAGCACTTAAATGATCAGACAAAAACTAGGTATATAATCACAATTGTATAAACCAGCCAGCACTTCAATGATCAGACAAAAACTAGGTATATAATCACAATTTTATAAACCAGCCAGCACTTAAATGATCAGACAAAAACTAGGTATATAATCCTAGATTCACACTTTAATAGACTAGCCAGCCCCTAATGGAACTGACAAAAACTAGGTATATAATCACAACTTTATAAACCAGCCAGCACTTAAATGATCTGACAAAAACTAGGTATATAATCACAATTGTATAAACCAGCCAGCACTTCAATGATCAGACAAAAACTAGGTATATAATCACAATTGTATAAACCAGCCAGCACTTCAATGATCTGACAAAAACTAGGTATATAATCACAATTGTATAAACCAGCCAGCACTTCAATGATCAGACAAAAACTAGGTATATAATCACAATTGTATAAACCAGCCAGCACTTCAATGATCTGACAAAAACTAGGTATATAATCACAATTGTATAAACCAGCCAGCACTTCAATGATCAGACAAAAACTAGGTATATAATCACAATTGTATAAACCAGCCAGCACTTCAATGATCTGACAAAAACTAGGTATATAATCACAATTGAATAAACCAGCCAGCACTTCAATGATCAGACAAAAACTAGGTATATAATCCTAGACTGACATTATAGATCAACCTGCACTCAATAGGTGAGGTTGTCACTATCACACTATCCACAGTGTAGCCCTCCATATCCAAGAACACTTTGTTCTTCCTCTTCCTGTTCTTTGCAATCAGTTTCATATGCTGAGGTTATCAGTTGTGTTACCTTCATGAACCAGCCAATCAGCAGCAAGTCTCCAAGGTTCCTGTAAGTTTATCCTTCATGCTTCTTCTGACTGATCAAGTGTTTTCTTGTAGGTTTTGCTGTAGGTGGCAGTTTTGCAGTGTGTGCTCACACGTCTGCCCTCTGTTTAGTCTCTTGATTCTGTCATCTGGATCTTTGCTGTCCATTCTCCACCCTCCAAAGTTTTTGTACTTTGCCCTGATCAGTGTCTTTACCTCTTGTGATATGGGAGAACATTTTGAAATGATTCTGTTTTCAGAGGTAAAATTCAAAAACAACCCAAGAGAAATACTTACAGGACCCATGATACAGATGATTCTCTCTTTAAGGAGCCTGGAAAAAATGTCATATGCTCTCTCTCCCCGTCCCGTCTGCTCTATGACAATGGGTACTAGTGGTAAATGATGCTGCATGGATGTGTGCAGCTGACATCTGGAAGCTAGACTGGCACAAACTCCGGACAGATTCTGTAAAACATGCATTTGTTTAAAATAAAATGTTTACTGAAATTGTCACACATAAATTGCCATGAAACAGTCAGGCTAAGTAAGGCCTGAAGAAAAATAACAGTTAATTTCTTGTCTTCTTCTGCATTCGCACTGTGACACTGACAACCTCAAATACTACTAGACCTAATTACACCTTTCAGATATCATCTTAGAAACAGGTTCCCAAGTACAAGCCTGGCCAATGTAAACAGGATTGACATTTCCTTTAAGTCAGAGCAGAAAAGCAAGGAACCAACAGTCTGCACATTGGTAAGCCACTCCACCTCATTATAATGTGGGACAGAAAATATCAACACCTAACAGTTCAAACTTTGATTACATAGTCTGTGATTATAAAGTCTACTATTACCTAGTTGATCCTCTTCTACCCTGGGGTGTAAAGGCTTGCGAGAGAGATTGGTAGACTTCTCTATCAGTAGTTTTCTTGTTGGCTTTGTTCCATTCCAGTCCTCTGTCAGTCAGGGACTGTCGGATGCTGTCTTCCTAGCAAACCCTGAGCCATCATTGAGGTTTGGTTTCCTAGTTCTTGGCCTCCCATGTCTTGGTAGTGGCCAATTCTCTCCCATTCTGCAATCATTTCCAAACCATTGTAACTGCGACTTACCCACTCGAGTTTGTAACGCTTGGATTTCAGGATCATGACAAAATGTCTGGTTGCGAATTTTGTCCCTCCTTGTCATCTGGACTACCTTTTTCAGATAACTAATTTCTGAGTCTTGGGGCTGGATTCCTAGAGCTGTTGTCACTGCCCATGACTCACATCTGTAATTCTGGACTGGCACACAGGTAAAGCGGTATACAGAGATATACGGCCATTTTCATCCTCTTGCAAGTTTCTCTTCTGCTGTGAAAAACCCTCAAATTTTAGTCTGGAAAAGTCACCCAGCTGCTGCTCATCCCATCCTACATTCACACACATATAATACCAAACTACTAACTGTCTCGAGGCGGGTTCTAGGGCTCAGGCACGCCACCAATAATACAAGATGGTGGGGGGGGGGGGGGCGGGAGGTCAGCTCCCATATAATTTTCAAGGGAGAGCTCAAAGGACTTAAGCCTTCTTAAAAAACACAAAAATAGGGGAGGGGGGGTCTTTTTCCTAAAAATTATGAGGGAAGGGGGAGCCTCAGCATCTCCTAAAATATTTGTGAGGTAGTGGGGTCCCAGGTCCAGTGTCTTTTTCATAGCCCCATTTAGCCTTACAGAGTGGGTTCCTGGGCCTCAATCTGGGGAAAAGAAAACAGACCTACTACCCCTCTAACAAGCATGTCATAAAAGGCCACCAATCAGGGGTGTTTCTTTCAAAGTTGGAATACATCTAACAGAGGCAAGGAACCAACAGTGTCAGGAGACAATTTGTCTGAATGGGGAGTGCTTTTGAACAGTTCCAAAACTGTGAAGGTATTAAGGATAATAGCTTCCAGGTCAGAAGTCACTGCTAGGGGTGACATCTTAGTTCATAATTAAAGTGCAGTCATGGGACAACAATCATGGATGACTTGCGCTCACAGGATAGCGAGGATGGCTCAGATATATTCTGATACAAAATGTCCCTTTCTATGAATCAGCCTTCATTCCTTGACTTTTACGACTACATCACTCATAAACAGTGTAGATAAGACAAACAGTAAACAGTCGATTAAGCTGTGGCTGCTATGTCCAGTCAGAGGGGACTTGTTTAACAGCAGACCAAGGCTTCCTGTTCCGGGTAGAATGCATCCATTTGTCACTTAAGTGTTGGCTCAAAGCTTCTCGTCTGTTTCCTGCCGTACCGGGAGATGGAAAACAGTCACTTGCTTGGCGTCAGGGGGACACTCTCAATATCTCTTCCTAGCTTGTCTCTGGGTCAAATAACTTCTTGTGCCCAACTCAAACTGCTCTTTACTCAGACTGCTCCTGAGCCAGATATGCTGGCCTTAAAACCTGGCCAAAGTCTATGGTCTCACAGTTGTCCTTTATGACACTAGACATGTTTATGGAATTACTGGTACACCACTATTGTCACATGCACACACAATGATATTCTGTGTTAATACTAGTCCAATCTACACTACTGAAAACCTTAATAGCACGTGAACTATCGTGCTGCCGTTAAATTGAGAAACACTATTGACTCATTAGGAAATAATTTGTGTACACTTTTTACAACTGAAATATTGAAAACAAATGAAACAACTATAGACTCGTGATGATAAATCATAGTAGAACTCAACTGAAGAACCCTGAATGGTTTTGGTCAGGTCTTAATATAGCTGACCACTGTGGGGGTGGGGGCATGTGTGGGTATTCTCATTGTCCACGAGGTTAATGCTTGCATGAAGTTCTGTGGGTTTAATGCCCTGACAAGCTGTAGGTGTTAGTCAAGTTTTGGCTATAGTCTGTTTCAACTAAACTAATCTTGTGTTTCAGCTAAACAAATCTTGACTAACTATAGTCTATTTCTGACTTGACTAACTGTGGCACATAATAAACAGTCCGCATACAAATAAGCTTACTCTGTAAAATTATTGGATTTGCATGCAAAATTCAAGTTCTAGAAAAAGACTAAGGTGCAGAAGCGGATGAACAACCAGAACTTTCTGTCTTTACAACTGGTGAACATGAAGACGAAAAAGACATGTTTACTGCCCTTTTTAGGGCAAACAATGAGAAACTGCTGATTATTCTGCTGTAATCAAGCAAAAACTAAAAGTATATGGATTCTGTACCTATACTTGCAACTCAGAATGTAGATTTAAAAAAAAAAAACATGTTGAATTTATTATGAAACTGGATAGAGTAGTAGTGTAGTACTAATTGTATGTGATTTTTTTCCAAGTTCAATATTTTTTGTTACTTCGTGTAATTGTGTTTGTTTCAATCAAAACAGCTCTTAGTTTCTTGATCTTTTTCAATTTTTAAAAAAGAACAGCCTACCAATTTTTTGTTTATTTGCTCCGACGGATGATAAAGAATAAAATAATCATAACTTATGATTATTTTATTCTTTATCATCCGTCGGAGCAAATAAGTAAGGAAAGTGGAAACTAAGTAAGACTAAACTTTAGCTTACTTTAATCATTTTTATATTCTATATGAAAATCAGAAAGTCAGCAGCGTTGCTGCCTCTTCGCTAAATTTGCTCTATATATATAATTCAGCGCTGAACAAGTTATATTCCTTAATTTAAGCTGAATAAAACTGACCTTCAAGAATTTCCCAGTCAACATTGTCGATGTTTCAGTTTCTCTGCTGCCAGTCAGTTCAGGGAGCCCAGCAGAAGTAAAAGCTCACTGGGACCAAACGTGAACTCTGCTCCACAAGAGCTCGGGAGATGTGTAGTTTTTGTGTTTAACGTTGAACGTCATCACAGCACTCGAGACACTCATAAGCGCTCCGTTCCCATCTTCAGCAGGAAGCGAAGAGTTCCAATTCCATTGGTACTACTAAGTGTCTGATTATATATCCGTCTCGCCTTTTCTTTGAGTGCTGAGCGTCGGCCAGATCTCCTGGTAACTCCTCGCAGCGTCATTCTCCTCAGACCGAAATGATATGTGTTCCTCCGCACTGTTCACTCGCTCCCAGAAGGCACTCACAACGTCTAGTTTGTTATATATCAATTCCTCATCAAGTGGTGCAAAATCGGCCATTCTATCTACCTGTTCATTTCCCTACACACCGGCTTGATCTGCAGAAAATATCCTAAGAACGATAACTAAACGGGACCTCGGAACTGATGCTTGCCACTCTGCACGGGGCACGCGTGTCTCTGTCTTTCTCAAGATGCTCTGTGAGTCAGTTACAATCACGGTTTGTGTGTACAGCTGATTTTGAAGCCAGTGGAAGGCAGCAGTGACTGCCTCCACCTAAATTCTCAAACTAATGTAAGCTAATTAAGCATAAGCATAATTCCACTATTTCATCTGATTTAAAATAACTTGAAATAGCCTACCCTAGTTATACTTACTGTACTCTCGTGCCTGCGTTCGTCCTAATTTAAATAACAGTTAGCAGGGCTTCGTGTTTGAGTGTATGCGTTATCTGGGAAGACATGATTTGTTTCCTGGCTAGAAATAGCAAATGCCAGGGTTGTGAAGTAAAAAAAAAAAACCGTCTTAGGTGATAGGAAAATATGTGGGGAGTTGTTTACACAAGCGCCGGAACCTGAAGGCTCAGGTCCCTTGAGCAACCCGTCCCCCTTTTTACAGAGACCCCCGTGTAAACATGTTTACAAACTTTCTTTATGAGTAATGTGCTTATGTGTGTGCAGGCTGCTTCTCAGGCAGACGTGTTTTGACTTTGAAGGAACTGTACATCCTATCTATATCCGAATGCTTCACCGCTTGCTAAGGCTAGCGTGGAGCAGAAAGTAAATAGGCTTATGTTCCAAGTGGCAGAGAGCTAACGGAGTCTACATTCCCAAGGAGCGAACTCCACAAATCTATCCCAGTTCAGGTCCCTCACGCTGTTGAACACTGAGGGCAAAATATTCTTCTCGGTGATAGCACTCAGGCTCACACAGTACTTAATGTAGAAAAGGTTAGTGTATCCTTTACAGGGCGTTTCAGAACCAACCCCAACAGCCCTAGTGTGGTTTTTCTAGACAGTTACGTCCAGTAGTTTGCCATTGCCTTCTGGACGGTCGGCTTTCTTGATACAACTGTCGAAACTAACGCAGGGCGCATGTGCCGCAGCTGGGATAGAACCCAGCATCCTGGCATTACGAAGCGTTCGCATCGACTAAGCCACAGAGCCGATTAATGCAGAATAAGTACGTAGAAATATCGGTGCAAAAAAGGTGGCATCCCGGGCAACTTGAGCATGCGACCATGATCTGGAAGTCTTTTCAGAGAACTGAGGCATAAAGAACGGATTTGCGTGTGTGTGGTTGGACCTCGCCAACGCCTATGGGTCGGTAACCCATAGGCTACTCTGGCAGCCTTTCGCATGTCACAGGTACCGAAAGAGATCACCGAAATGATCGAGTAAAATTTCTTAAAGTTCGCCATACGCTTCTCTAGCCCCACGTTTACTACAAGATGGACCGAGCTCCAGGTTGCCAGGTTGGGATAGCAGTGGGTTGTACGATTTCTACGATACTGCTTGTAATGGCCATGGAGGTCATGTTAGACGGTGCTGCTGGTTACGCGCGTTGCATTCAAACTGATGACCAATGGATGCCACCACTGTAAGCATTTATGGACGATTCTTCGCAGAGATTTTTTCTCATGAAATCCCATCTGTAGAGAGGTTTTAAATCCGCAGCCGGGCTACAAACTGGCAACAGTAACCACAAAAGATCCCATCTTTACTATATCCCTCAGCGTGAGGCGATTGACAAGACCAGAGCTGTGTTAACTATTCTTCTTGGCTGCCTGTAAAGTGATCACATTTGGCGACATCTTTTTTACCTAAAATTCTTGTAGTTTTTTAATGTGGCCGATTCAACGTCGCCTCCTGGATAATCTTCCCGATCTGCCTCTTTGAGAGCACTGAGAACATCGACCCGGTCCATTTCTTTTCCTGTACCTACCGCAGCCCTGCCAGCAAGGCAATCCGCTCGTTCATTCCCTCTTACCCCAGAGTGTCCTGGCAAAAAAATTGAACTCATTCTTTCAGACGAGATTTTCTCGCAGACTCTAACCATGTTCTACGAATCTATCCAGTCTTTACCTTCTTAAGCATGCTCATGGAATCACTTAGACAGTGGAACAATTCTGTCAGACATATATCTAATTGTTCCCCATACCTGCATATCCATGAGTGTGTACGCTAGTTCCTACGTCAACGAAAGATTTATTAGTCTAAAAATGCCCTCCCTTATGCTGGATATGATAGCTCAATCAAACCTGTTATTAGGAAGGAACACTTGAGTTATAGTTGGCGTACTGTTTGATATCTGAATAACTCAGTCGTTCATAACTAAATTGGTCGTTATTTTGAAGCCCTAACTCTTGCCAGGGGCCGCAATCTAGCCCGGCCATAAATATGGTCTAATGGCTGAAAGCGGTTTCTGGGACCTCTCAACGGGTGATCCTCATCCACATGGTGGCACTTTGTGTCATCGGGTGTTGATCGCTTGTATGATGTCCTAGTGGGGTAAAATTTACTACTACTACTGATATCTGTCAAAGGAGACAACATCAGTGAGTCGACCTGAGTTGATGTCATGTCAGAAAAAAATACAGGGATTCTACCAAATAATGATGGTGTCTTTGAGTTTAGGGGTTATCAATGCAGTTTCATAATTCTAATTTACAGGTTTCGTCTGTTGCTGTTCCCGCCGCTGCAGCAAAGAAAGAGGAAAAGAAAGAAGAGTCTGAAGACGACGATATGGGCTTTGGGTTGTTTGATTAAATTTCATTGCACATTTTTCATTCATTAAAGTGTATGTAATTTACAAACAAAAAAAGGTGTTCTGACAGCAGTCCATATTGTGCTGATTTCAACAAAGGTATGAGAGTCGACCATTCAGTTAGCAATGGCAAAGTAATAAATGTAACAATGCTTGGTAACACCACTTATACTGGGGTTGTTAGGGAGCCGCCACTGTGTAGAAGCTAGAGGCTCGCCTGTGGATTTGAAATTCGTTGGTTTGCATCCAAAACTAACCACTTTCCAGAAATAACCTTGGCCTGCTTCAGGTTGACCCAGACTTAAGTTTTTATGAAGTACTGGGAAGTAAAGGCGGTCGGCGTGATGTTGACTACATTGCCCAGCAAGGGCTGATTGCTCTATAAAATATAGGTCTAGAAAATTCGCCTACCACGCTCTTCTGGTAGGAAGACTGGTGTGGGTTCCCAATTTGTGACCATTTGAAAATAAAGTTCATTTGTTCAAAGTACGATATACTTTCGTTCAGTTTTATATCTTTCTATGGTAGTATGAAAGCCAAATAAGTTTTTAGATTTGCCTTGGTTGCAAATATGCTTCATAATGCCGGGGTGCTGAGTTCGATCCCAGCTGCGGGCTTGTGTTGGTTTCAAGAAGTCGACCATCTAGAAAGCAATGGCAAACAACTGGGCGTAAACTTAGCTAGAAAAACCACAAACAGCCTTAAAAAAAAATGCTGGGGTTAGTTCTGCATTGTCCTGTCGGGATACACAACTAACTTGTCAAAGCAGTGTTAGCTGTTTCAAAACCAGGCACCATTCTTCTCAGCAAAGAAACTAAATGTTTGACTTTGCATTTCCTGTGACTCTTCTGTCCATCCTAATTCTGTCTTCTATCTTTCCACGGAGCACTGTCCTTCTCTAGCATAAGCCTTGTATTGTGTAGAAGATTGGATGTGGAAGACAAGTCGTCTCTGGCATGATGTTAGCCAGTTTCATATCAACCTTCCTTAGTCGCTCCAGCACAGAACAAACATCAATATTATTTATTTTTCACATCTTCATTTGTGGCCAATTCAGTCAAATTTTCTTCAGCATTCTGTGCCCTTGAGGTTCATTGCTGCAGATATCACCCACCCCATTCGTCACGCTGGATGTTGTGAGGGCCCTTTGGCAGCGAGTGAACAGTGCAGAGCAACAGATACATCATTACATTCTGAGGAGAATGGTACTGCGAGGAGTTACAAGGGAATCTGGCCAATGCTCGACACTCAGGGGAAAAGCGAGAGGGATATACAATCACAGTTAATGGTACCATCAGAATTTTAACTCTTCGCTTGCTGCTGAAGATGGGGACAGAGCGCTTATGGAGGTGCCTTAAGTGCTGTGATGTCAATTTTCCTAATTCAACATTGATCTCTCTGATTGTTATCTGCCCTCTTGGTTTGAATGTCTACAGAAAAGACCAAGAACTGAATCCACCAACTGATGCAGCACAGGTTCCTTACCCACACTGTCCCAAGAACATGCCATACAAGGACTGGGCTTCTCAGTCATCTACATACTTTTAAATGCCAATTTAGCTGGACAATGAAAGGACTGGCCACTGTCATTTGTGATGGACGGTCAAATACTAGTGAAGGTATCCCCTTTGTTTAACACTGTACATTATATATTGACTTCTTACAATGCTCCTCCTCTGTACAGATTGTCTTGCCAAACAAGAAGACAGAAAATTGATCATACAAAACTCCACTCATTTACTCAGGAAACAAAAAATATTTTTAATTGTTTGTTTAATTTATCATACAGCCCTAATCTCTTATCTAAACAGACCATTTTTGGGGGGGGGGGGGGGGGGGTGAAATTATAAATGCCGACCAATTCTTTAAACAACAAAATACATAAGCCTATGTGCAAGACAGCTATCTCAAGCTTCCTCCTTTAGTCCTTGTCCTTGCTGGCTGTGACCATGTCTTTCTACAGCTCTCTAGTGCTCTTCTTTTTCCTGTGGAAGCCACACCAGTGCAATTGCTAGACATTTATGTTTTTGCCTTCAGGATTCTTCTCCTTGGTGTTTACAGGGTGTAAACTCCAGCCAAAAGTTCTGACTGTTAGTCCACTTCTGTAGTAGTGTTCTCAAATTTGAGTTTTGCATGCACACCAGTTTTACAGATCTGGCCTATCTGTATACAGACTGTTGCTGCCACATCAGGCAGATTGAGTTTGAAGGAAATACTCTCCTAATTAGTCAAATTTCTATGACATTCTTGTTAGGGACTCAGTGAGCCTCTTATTTTTTCTCCCAGGATCCTATACAGGGATGCTTCGAGGATAGAGAGTAGACAGTTCTAGCACCATACATAGATAATTCAACACTTAATGGATAAAGTGATTGACATCACATTAGCCACTTTTACAACCAAGAACATTTCCAGCATGCATTTCTGAAAGTCCAGATATTTTTGTGGAGAAATCCTGGCTCCTATGATGATCTGAGCACATAACGGCCAAGCTGGCAAACAAGTGTGCATTCCACTGAATTACCACAGCCTTGAAATGTCACAATCTTGACCAAACAGCACAAATAAGATCAGAATATACAAAAGCCATTGGGTCTTTTGTAAAATTCCACTTGTGTGCTCAAGCAGGAAAACAATTCACATTTTTTTTGTTTAATTTATGAGTCCCAAATTTAGATTGAAACTGAAATAGTCGACGAATTTATCCCCCCCCCCCCAAAAATGTGTTACTTGGTTTTCAGATGTGGCATATGATAGTCTTCTTCTTTCCTCTACTCTTGGAATGCCTCGCGGAGCCAGGGTAGGAGGAGAAATCTGGAGCGGGCTCTTCTTTTCGCTTCATATTAAGGGCTTTTTCGTGTCTGATATTTCTGCGGTCCATCTTCTGCGTGGTCTACCTCTGGTCTGTGTACTCTTGTCTGATGCCAATCTTGTGACGTAGACAAACCATTTGATTTGTTGTCTACCTATAAAGTTCAGTATTGGTTCTGTGCAGACTCTTCTGATATCATCGTTCCTAAGTAGATCTTTCCTCGTTAAAACCTAGCATAGTACATCAACATTTTATTTCTGTTGTGAATATTTTCTTTCTGTCTTCTGAAAACAGTGTCCATATTTGACAATGATAGCAAAGCGTTGGTAAGAATATTGTGTCGAACAGTGTTCTTTTAAAGTTCATTTTCACATACTTGCCTTTCAAAATTAGTGCCATTTGGCCTAAAACTTGATTGGCTTTATTGCATCTTTGCCAGATTTCTGTATTAATTCTTCCGACTTCAGAAACAAATGCTCCCTAGGTATGTTAAATGCCTCTCTTGCTTGAACTGGTGCTCATCCATTTTGATACTGATGATTCTTCCTTTCCTGGAAAATGTCATCACTGCTGTTTTGTCTACGTTAATCTTCATATACTTGTCGTATTCTGTGTGGAGTCTGATAATATGTTGCTGTAGTTGTAATACTGTTAGTGCTATGCTTGCCTGGTCAATGGTGAAATACAGTTAATTTAGTAATTCTTCAATGTTGTCCCCTCTGCTGGTTTTTGTCCCCTCTGTTTGGTGTTTTGTCCCCTCTGCTGGTGTTTGTCCCCTCTGCTGGTGTTAGCTGATTCACAAATTTGATTAACCGTAATGTCAGTATTTTAGTTCTGGTGCATACACATTTTCAAATCTGGAAATCCTTGACTTGAAATACAAATGAATGTAGCTATAATATAGACCAATATACCAGTGTTTCTTTCATCATGTTGGAGCGTGCATATATGCCACAAAAATATTCAACACAAATCTACGACAAACATAAAACACTGACAGTGGTTTATGTAACAATACTAATAGCAAGCAGATGTCAAAAATACAAACATAATTTATGTCGGCCATATAAACAAAAGACATTTAATCTAAGCAGTACAGATAAAGAGCAGACATGATAAAGATATCGGCAAGGGAAGAAAGTCAAATTATCAAGCAGCAAACATTAGAATAGAAAATTTAAAATAAATAAGAAACAAAAATCATTTAACTAAAGCTGACGGAAGCCAAGAAATGACAGCTGAAGATTATACTGTAGTGCAGAAATTAACATCAAGACATCATACTTGGCATATGAAAAAAGGGGAGAGGGAGGTAAGCCTTCTTAGGCATGTTCATGGAATCAATTAGAAAGTACGCCGTAGTTGTAGTCAGTAAAAAATAAAGTTATGCAATACATTTACAGAAAGTAATAGAAAAAAAAAACATTTTAAAAAATACTTTAAAATAAAAATTACACTCAGGTAGACATATTTTTTTTTGTTTAAATAGTTAAAATAGTTGAATAAAATAAACAGAAAAAGTTTAAATAAAAAGTTTTGAATTTTGATCCACAAAAAAAAAAAAAAAAAAAAAAAAAAAAAAATTAAACATGAGATTCTAGACATGTGGTCCTGATAATGCAAAAGTCTGTAAGTAAGAACACATATGGCTACAATATAAAAAGCGATCAACAAATACTGATAAGCTACTGGATCCCATGTGGCAGGATGCAGCTTTAGCTGACCTTTGGCACGCAGGTTGCGTCTCACCTCATCCTGCAACAACACAGTGTTCACTTCATCAATTTCATTTTACACCTTCATCACACTTGTATGCATGTCATCATCATTAGGTAACATATGGCGTGGTGGATAATGCTACACACAACAGTAGACACCTACACCAGCTTGTATCGGGAGGTGGCTGGTTTGGTGTTGCATGATCCACCACACCACACACACTAGTAGCCACCTCCACCACGCCACACACACTAGTAGCTACCTCCACCACACACACTAGTAGCCACCTCCACCACGCCACACACACTAGTAGCCACCTCCACCACGCCACACACACTACTAGCCACCTCCACCACGCCACACACACTAGTAGCCACTTCCACCACGCCACACACACTACTAGCCACCTCCACCACGCCACACTAGTAGCCACCTCCACCACGCCACACACACTAGTAGTCACCTCCACCACGCCACACACACTAGTAGCTACCTCCACCACACACACTAGTAGCCACCTCCACCACGCCACACACACTAGTAGCCACCTCCACCACGCCACACACACTACTAGCCACCTCCACCACGCCACACACACTAGTAGCCACCTCCACCACGCCACACACACTACTAGCCACCTCCACCACGCCACACTAGTAGCCACCTCCACCACGCCACACACACTAGTAGCCACCTCCACCACGCCACACACACTAGTAGCTACCTCCACCACGCCACACACACTAGTAGCCACCTCCACCACGCCACACACACTAGTAGCCACCTCCACCACGCCACACACACTAGTAGCCACCTCCACCACGCCACACACACTAGTAGCCACCTCCACCACGCCACACACACTAGTAGCCACCTCCACCATGCCACACACACTACTAGCCACCTCCACACACACTACTAGCCACCTCCACACACACTACTAGCCACCTCCACACACACTACTAGCCACCTCCACACACACTACTAGCCACCTCCACCACCACACACTAGTAGCCACCTCCACCACGCCACACACACTACAAGCCACCCCCACACACACTACTAGCCACCTCCACTACTAGCCATCTCCACCACCACACACTAGTAGCCACCTCCACCACGCCACACACACAAGCCACCCCCACACACACTACTAGCCACCCCCACACACACTACTAGCCACCTCCACCAGCACGTATCAGTTCGTCTGCCAATGCCTGTCCATGGCAAGATAAAAAGCCATCCAGAATCTTCTCTACATTTTCTTCCTCTATCTGTTTCCATAAATCTTTCCAGCTGTCAAATATTTAGGTTTCGTCATTCTCCATGTGCTTTCAATGCCAATGCATCTTAAATTTCTTGTATCCATCTTCGCGGTGGTCGACCCCTGCCTTGCCTTCCACAAACTGCACCTTCTATCACCGTCTTTTCCAAGCCACCATGACGCTTAATGTGGCCAAAATACTTCAACTTTCGGGACAGGATGCTGTTTATGAGCCAGTTCTCCTTGATGTTCAACTCGTTCAGAATGTCGATGTTTTTCCTCTTCCTGATCCATGGTATTCTAAGAATGTTTCTATAGCATTTCAATTCAAAAGCTCCAATCTTTTTCCTCAGTGACTGAGTGAGAGTCCAAGACTCACAACTGTAAGTTTCCACAGGAGAAATGCATGATCTCAAGATTTTTACTTTAACCAATTTACTAGTGCTTTGCCATAGGTTCTTCATGTTATTTAATCTCTGCATTGCTAATGCAAGTCTTACCTGATTTATAACTAGTGCAATTACTATATACACACTAGGAATATTCACTAGTGCACCTGTGTTCATGCACTGCGTTGCCATTTCCATCACTTGAGACGGGAACATAAGCATTTCTTACGCAATGAAAGTGATCCACACCAAAAATTAACACAACTAATGGCTGTTAACTTAGTACTGACAAATTGAGGGGTGGCTGCAACTGAGCTGAACAAGAAGTCATGAAAGAAAACAAATTATGAATCAACAAAAGGAAAGGGAAATGTGTACAAACACACTGTACAGCTGAGTGTTTCGACTGGAATCTTTATCAGTGGACAATATGCCAGCATTTTTGTTGACCGCGCAGGAAGTCTTCTAGAAGACTGTTGTTTTGTCTGTTCATATTCTGATCACAAAGTTTGGTTGTATCACAATATAGATTGCCTATTCCTCCTGCAAGCTTTCTAATCATAATCTGTGCTGTTTTAGTTTTTTTAATTAATTCTGCAGAGTCCATTCACACAGAGACAACTAACAGGTTGAAACATTTTCAGGATGAGCTTACCAGATCAGTTACCCAGGTTTAAGCCCCAGCTGTTGCGCATCGTGAGGTCGAAGCAAGTGTCACTGTCGATACTGCAGCTGATGACCGCGTAGTAGGCGATGAATTCCTTCAGCGTCACCTAATGATGATTTGACAGCAATGACTACGAGTCTAGCAGTTTGTGCTGTCAACAATTTCACACACAGCATTCAGATTTCACCAGTTCTTGCAGTCTATTTCTACCAACTACACACATCATTCAGATTTCACCAGTTCTTGCAGTCCTTTTCTACCACACACACACAGCTTTCAGATTTCACCAGTTCTTGGTCTATTTCTACCAACTACACACATCATTCAGATTTCACCAGTTCTTGCAGTCTATTTCTACCAACTACACACACACATCATTCAGATTTCACCAGTTCTTGCAGTCTATTTCTACCAACCACACACACATCACTCAGATTTCACCAGTTCTTGCAGTCTATTTCTACCAACTACACACACACATCATTTAGATTTCACCAGTTTTTGCAGTCTATTTCTACCAACCACACACACGCATCATTCAGATTTCACCAGTTCTTGCAGTCTATTTCTACCAACCACACACACACACAGCATTCAGATTTCACCAGTTTGAGCAGTCTATTTCTACCAACCACACACACATCATACAGATTTCACCAGTTCTTGCAGTCTATTTCTACCAACCACACACACATAATTCAGATTTCACCAGTTCTTGCAGTCTATTTCTACCAACCACACACACACAACACACTGACTTTAGGGTCAGTCATGTTTACCACAAAACTACACACAGACACACACACACTACACAAGGAACCTAGTCTATTTCCCCAAAAAACTACACACATGTACAAAACACAGGCAACTTGGTCAGTCTACACACACCTTGGTCTTCTTTCTTCCTTTGTCATACTGCTTATGCCGTGAAGCTTCACAGGAGTTACATTCTGAGTTTTACTATGATTTCATTCTGATTTTCTCCTCTTGTTATCTACAGCATATGTACTTGAACAAATACATACAGGAACAACAAAGAACTCATAGTTAATATGTTTCACAAGCACCAGCAGTTGTTTCACCATACAATTCGACACACCATACACATTACAAGAAATGTATGTCTCTAGCTAGCAGTCTATTTCATTACAACATTAGATTACATAGAATTGACACGCTCCAGCACTCTCATCAAAAAGCTAGGTGCACACACACATTTAAAGTGCAATTTTGGGTGATATTTGAGTTACTTATGTTTAACGGCATGCAAAAGTAATTAAAACATGATTTCCCATTCCCCCCCCCCCCCCTTAATCTGCTGCTGCGGCCTTCACCCTTTAAGACAGCAACTAGCATGCTGTGCTCTGGTTTATCTACATGAAATATTTCAGGATCCTGGCCGGTGCTACGGAGATCGTGCACTGCGCTGAAATTATTCAGACTCGCGCTTGAGTTGAGTTAGAAGCAGAGCTGAGCACTTATGGGTTGCTGCCCTTGTGCCTTGATGCTGATCAGTTGTTTAAATCTAAGCCTATAACTAGGCTGCGATACCGGCACCTTTTCGGCCCACCCTATGTGATTTCAGCAGAAGTCTAATTAGTTGCCTTTGACATGCTTGTCTGATTGCAGCAGGTCTACGGTCTCCACCTTCACCTCAGTGCAGGTCCACTGTCTCCACCTTCACCTTACTGCAGGTCTAAGGTCTCCACCTTCACCTCACTGCAGGTCCACTGTCTCCACCTTCACCTTACTGCAGGTCTACTGTCTCCACCTTCACCTTACTGCAGGTCTACGGTCTCCACCTTCACCTCACTGCAGGTCTACGGTCTCCACCTTCACCTCACTGCAGGTCTATGGTCTCCACCTTCACCTTACTGCAGGTCTACGGTCTCCACCTTCACCTTACTGCAGGTCTACTCTCTCCACCTTCACCTTACTGCAGGTCTACGGTCTCCACCTTCACCTTACTGCAGGTCCACTGTCTCCACCTTTACCTTACTGCAGGTCTACAGTCTCCACCTTCACCTTACTGCAGGTCTACATTCTCCACCTTCACCTTACTGCAGGTCTACAGTCTCCACCTTCACCTTACTGCAGTCTACTGTCTCCACCTTCACCTTACTGCAGGTCTACGGTCTCCACCTTCACCTCACTGCAGGTCCACTGTCTCCACCTTCACCTCACTGCAGGTCTACAGTCTCCACCTTCACCTTACTGCAGGTCTACGGTCTCCACCTTCACCTCACTGCAGGTCCACTGTCTCCACCTTCACCTCACTGCAGGTCTACAGTCTCCACCTTCACCTTACTGCAGGTCTACGGTCTCCACCTTCACCTTACTGTAGCCATGGAATGGAAGGGGATAAAGAAATGATCTAAAGCTCAATTATCAATATTTTATTTACTGCTGGGAAATTCCCATTCAAGGTTAATAAAAATATCCTCAGATGTAAGAAATTTCAAGCACACCCTTGCCCCCAATAGGGTCCCGTAATCGTTAGCATGATAAAGAATCAATGTTGCTCCCAGGAAATTTTCACGCATCCATTTGAGGATAATTTTAAAAAATCCTAAGCTGACAGAGGTACAGGTACATTACCTACCGACCAACGACAAAGCAGCCGCAATACTGTGATCACAGAAGCTTGTTCAGTTATCACTTGTTTGATTTAAAGTGTAAGAAGAAGAATAATATTGTAGTGTTTTCACAGCTATGTATGTAAGTATGTATACTTTTTTTAAAATTTTAATTCTTGCATTTTCTCTTCACCCAAGGTTGTTTCAACATACATGCCTGTGTTTTTTTGCAGGATCATAACATATCTTTTTACCTGTTTGTTTCATTTCTTCTTCTCAAGTGTTCACTGGTTGCACACTCTGGGGGAAAGTTCTGGTTGTCAGTCCATTTTTGGTCTTTGGTCTTGTCTCAGAACTTGAGTTTTGAGTGTAAATCTATTTTACAGATTGGGCTTAGTTGTATACAATCTTTTGGTTCCTCACCTTTTAGGCAGACGCACGACCTCTGAGGAAGCACACTTAATTCGATTGATCTAGATACTCACAATACCATCCGTGTGATCATCGACATCAAAGTTCTTCAAGAATTCCTGATAGACCTTTTCTTCAGACCAGTCTCCGCCAGTGTACTTGGGGTGTTTCTTCACATTGTATGTCTTCGTGAGGTCTTCGACAGTAACAGCTCCATCACCTGGACCAGGTCATAAAGGATTGTTAGATATAACTGACGGGTGATTCTTTTAATTAGATGCGTTATGCTTGTATAATTCATATACGGGGTGAAGAGATAAATGGCAGCTTAACGCATTCAGTACTTCTCTATTTAGTTTTAATCATTGCCCTGTCTGAGGAAGTCTTTTCCCACAAATAGGGTGACCCAGAGGTGTTAATCCTGCAGACTGGAAGATAAACATTACCTATCCTACCTGGTTACATGATTAAGTAGAGTTTTAAGCCGGAGCACATGGACTTTCCTGTGGCCCATAATCCATGGGTTGAAAAACACTGCATTAGACAACAGAAAAATCAAAAGCTATGGTTCACATGTAAGGGATCAAGCTTGTCATCCCCAAATGATGACAGGTCCCTCTGAAAGACAGGTATGACACAGGACTAACTAGACATCCCTTCCTTTTCAAGCAGTGTCTACACTAGCCATGTATATTAAACAGCCTCAACTTACTTCCTGCTGCCTTGTCTGAGCAGGCCTGGTAATCTTAGGTCAATGGAAACAAATCCCTTAACTCAATGGGGTTTGAACCCATGACACTAGGGCCTACAGATACATATGTATGCTACTGCAATACTCTTGTTTATCATGAACTGCATAGACTGAATGCAGTGAATCTATGAAAGTTTGGAAAAACTCAACAACTGTGTGAGCTTTATACCTAACCAATTAGTTAAAATGAACGACAGACATCTTAAGTAGTGGAATAAACAAGGCAATCGTTTTTAAAAAAAAAAAAAGGTTAAAGGTGAGATGATGAACCTGTGAGCACTGGAGCTTATCCCACATAACCTTGCCTCTCTCTACAGGACGGCTAGCCAGCTGCCTACTGAAAGTGTCACACAATCCACCAACTCCACACCTCTAGGGAGAATCCCTAAATTTTATGTAAATAGAGCAGCTGTAAACAGAGTGAACCAATCTGTGACATGAACCCGCGACCCTCAGAGCATTAAGCAAGCTGCTTGAATGTAACATTATAATTATTGTGTTCTTGATTAATTACCTGTGTGATCCATTTTTGCAAATGCCGCTTCGACCAATTTCATCCTCCTTTCGTTCATTTTAGGCTAAAACAAAAAAAAATATCAATATAGTTTTTATCTCTAATAGTTGTGAACACACACATGAGCGATATACTCCATCCAATCTTCCTTCTAGATTTTCTACCTGAAATGTCAATTAATTAATTAGGAATTTTTCTTCTTCGTGTTCACCAGTTTTACACTCTCAACTGCAGTCCTGCTCCAGAACCAGAGTGTTGCGTGTGGATCAGTTTTACAGATATGATTCACTTGAATGCAGACTGCTGGTTCCTTGCCTCTCAGGCAGATGCACTCTGACTTCAAAGGAAGCTCCCCAATTAGTCGACTCTTACGACATGCTTTTGGGGAGGCAGTGGGTCTATTCTTGTTTTCCCCACAATAGGGCCCTGGAACCCACACAGGGAAATTAAGAATTGACACCACAGCACTTGGGGCATTCTCACATGGCATCCATCCACTTCTTCAGAAGGCTAAGGGACATACCAGTGCCAATTCTCTATCTATCATCTTCTCCAGTTTGCGTTCATTATTGTCCATATCCTCTACTCATTTCGTGCTGAATCAGTCTACCAATGTCTACTGGTGACTTGTCTATTAGTTCCTGGTCTTTTAGTCCCTAGTATGCCAGTTCCTTGGTCGCTTGAGCAAGTGATTAAGTTGTTACTTTTGCCTAAACCTAGAGTAGATTTATACAAGTTTAGCATACTCTGCTGTTTATTTATGAAACCATCTTTCATTGGATCTGAAAAATACAAAGAGTTCCTACTAATTTAACCCCAAACTTGAGTTTGGTTGATAACCATAATGCACTAACATTTTATATGTATATCTGTGGGATAGACATGTATGAGTGTACAAATATAAGTATTTGTGTATGCGTGGGTAAATAAAAACGGTCTGCATGCACAAATATGTTTTGTATGCATATATATAAATGCTTGGTGTGATTTTGTATGTATGAGTGTTTCACTGATATGTATAGATGTGTGTATGTTTATGGCTTTGTTTATGGGTATGTATGAGTGTTAGTTGCATGTGTGTATGTATAAATGTGAGTGTACCTAAGTGTATATATGCATGTGTGGGCATGTAGTATGTATGTATGTACGTACGTACGTATATATGCATGTGTGGGTATATATGTATGTATGGGTATATATGTATGTATGGGAATATATGTATGTATATATGCATGTGTGGGTATATATGTATGTATGTGTATATATGTATGTATGTATGTGTGTGTGTGTGTGTGTGTATGTATGAGGTGTGTTTGTATGTTTGTTCTGTGTGTGCATTTACAAGTATATGTATGTTTATGTGTTTGTATGAGAATAAGCGAGAATATGTATAAATCTCTGTGTTGTCATGTGTCTTTCTGAGTGGGTGTATGAATCTGTAGGTAGGAATGTGTATGTACAAACAAGTGTGAGTGTATGTATGACACTTCTTACATGAAGTAGTGGGTGTGTGCGCATGTATGTACAAATGTGAGTATATGAGTGTGTGTGAATTTTAAGAATATCTGGTAGGTATGCAACTGTGGTGCGTGTGTATGCTCATAGGTAAATGTTTTACTGTGTGTGCAGAATATATGTATGTGTGTGTGTGTGTGTGGGTATGCATGTGTCTGTATGGCAGTTTTTGCATGGGTAGGTGAATGCATGCATATGTGAGTGTTTATGTACATATGTAAGTAAAGTAAAGGTAACTCTTCCACGCCTTTAGGCATATAGGGTTAGACCTATATTTTTTATAGACCAATCGGCACAAGATGGGTGATTTGGTCAGCATCAAGCCGGCCACCTTTACTTCCCGGGACTGCACGCGGAACCCACTCAAGGCTGGGTCGACCTGAAAGTCAAGGTCATTTTCGAAGAGAAAAAAAGTCCGGCTCCGCCAAGGAGTGAACCCATGACCTTCCAACCCGCACACGAGCGTCCGTGTACATTTTACTTGACATTCATATTATGTACATTGTTATTTGAACATAACATGCTTTATAGATAAAATACAAATGCTGTGTAAAAAAAAAAAAGTAGTGATTGGAAGGACCTGCATGCACAATTTGTGAACCTCTGAAAAACAAAGTTTTTGTTTGTTCCCTCATCTACCAGTTCCTTGTTTTGTGAGGAGGGACGACTAGCTGCTCTATGAAGAGATTGATAATCTCGCCTTGTTAACAATTTTAACCTCGTGTATTTTCCTGTGCTAAGTTTCCATCTGTGTGCTAATCGACCCTGCCTCTCCCAAATGTGACACTGACATGTACTTTTTGCTTGGCGTCTGCCGCATTAACTCAAGCTCTCCCATATACAGCTAAATCTAAGTGCTGCCACACACTTTTTATAACAGTTCTTCTCAAATCAATCAGGCAGTTAATCAGTTTCCGAAAATGAACAGAAAGCTACAGTTACACTCTGCAATTATCACTACATCGCACAAACCTGAACTGCTCTAAGGAACTCATCAAAGTCCACAGTCCCTTCGCCATTTGTGTCAATAAGATTGAACAGCTCCCACTCCTGCTCCTTCTGTAGGACCACACCGACTTCACGAATGCCCTTAGAGAACTCATCAAACGATAACTTCTTATTCTGATCATCATCCATTATGCGGAACCGCCTGAAATGAAATCAAAACTTTTTACTACTAATTCTTATGTTTACATGTTTTATGAATCTCCTTACATCTATAAGTGTCAACGTTTAGTGACCGAATTGGGTGAATAAGTCTGTCATCTGCCAGAGTCAGTCGAGTCAGAAACGGACTATAGTTAGTCGACATCTGTTTAGCTCAAACACAAGATTAGTTTAGCTGAAACAGACTATACTAAAAACTCCACTTACACCTAAAGCTTGTGAGGGTGTTAAAACCCCAGAACTTCCTGCAGTACAAATAAAGCATTACCCACACGCGCAACACCTGCGCCAGTATGTCCAGAAATTCCTGACAGTGAATTCTCACCACGGCCTGTGTGCAGTATGTTCAGAAATTCCTGACAGTGAATTCTCAACATGGCATGTGTGCAGTATGTTCAGAAATACTGTAAAAAGAGGCTATAAATCATCCAAACTTGCTCACCATTTGCAATCAAAGCAGATATTTTACTGATTAGTCACTGGATCTTTTAAAGATTGCATGACCAGTTAAAAAGTCAGGAATATCACATGAAAGTGATGACAACCAGTGACAAGGTAAATGAAAAGCCATATTCTATTGGTGAGGGGTTAGTAAAGACTTGCATATTGAATGAGAAACTAGGTCCTCAAGCCACTATCATCATTGGATACTTTACTGTTTTCAGACACCACCATTCAGAGAATTGCTCATATGGCCACCGATACACAAACCAAGTTGTAGAAGAAATACTGATATGTTTTGTGATCCACATTTATGAATCAACCTCAGTAAACATGGCATCCTACTTTGCTTCGTTAGGTATAATGAAGATGAAGACTTCAGGAAGAAATTCTCTGTTGTCTTGACTTACCTGAACGAACCACTCATTCAGAGATATTAAATGCTCTTGATGGATATTTTTAGGCGCAGGGCTTAAACTGAAGGAAAAGCATCAGTGTTAAAGGGCGGCGTTGCAAGCATGACTGAATATTGCTCAGGCATCATTGCAAAAATAAAAAAAGTCGGGCATCCAGAAGGTTTTTCCACTCACTGTATGATCCTCTAGGAGCATCTTGCTGCAAAAAAAAAAAAAGCTCTCCACTAAAATTAACAGTGTGATGATTAACACAGGGAAGATTATAAATGAAATTAAGTCAAGCTTTGGACTCCAGACTGTTCATGACGCTGTGAGAGTATGGACTCAAATCACCAGCCACTCCTGCATGCAGAATGTGAGGCGGTTATCGAGAGGATGGAAAATCTGAGTCAGTAAGGCATCTGTTGAATGAGGAATCCATCATCTGTCAAAAATGTTTTGCGCCTGAAACAGTGACATCTTCTCTAAAGACCCAACAATATGGGAAATGATCCAGGCATACAACACAGACCTAAAACCTAACTATACAGGCACAACAACAATCCCAGGCATAGACAGAAAGGCTGAAGAATGTGACCTAGTACTGCATGCAAAGACCCTTGAACATGTCCACTACGCTTACCCAAAACTCGAATGGCTCCATATATACAATGATGGATCACTGGAGGGAGCAGAAGAAAACAGAGGGGCGGTTCAGTCATCAGGCTGCAAGATAGGACCACAGTGAGAAAGTCATGTGCCTCCGGGAAATTCAACAAACTTTAGAACAGAGCTGCAAGCAAATATTAATGCAACAAAACTGCTTGAGAAAAAAAAAAGACAGCAAGCGTGTGTTCCTGTGCATATCAGTCCTCCAGGTGACTCAAAGAAATCCACAAGACAACACGGAGAGAAAACTGACCTACCAGTTAATTAAACTCTCAGAAATCAATCAAATCATTCACAAATGCCCACTGTGGCGTAACAGGATAAGAATTGGTGGACCGACTTGCAAAAAATGAAACAAAAGAGATACAACACCCCCCTTTATGGTCATTACCAGAAATCAAATAACTCATCCAGAGAAAATAAAGGAATAGTGAAGAGAACAAACCAACAGTAAACATCCACAAGATCCCATCAACAGACTCAATAGAAAACAATATACAATTCCCACATGTATACAATAAAGTAGGTACAATCAACAGTGTGCATGTCAGATGGGACCACAAACAACTGAGCACATTCTGCAGGCTTGCTCACTATACTTTCAGTTTCGAAGAGAAACCTGGTCTCAGAAGCAAAGTGTGCAGAGCAAGCTGTGGGGAACCACAAAGGACCTGGGTGACTTCACAGTCCGACCTGAGAAAAAGAAATTGAATGAAAGAAGAATGAAGGACTGACGGCTAAGCTATCATATATATTTACATCTATATTTAAATCTCTCTTCAGGGAACTTGCAAAAATATTTTTAGACTTGGAAATAAAATGAATGAAGTCAGACAAAAGTTGATAGTCGTGTACAAGAGGAAGACTTTTCCACTTTAAGATAATTTTCAATTCTGCTTTCTCCACCAGAAAGTGATATTCAACACACTGAGTCAACATTTAAAGGCGGCTGGAAACTTTTGAGAATTATCTCCCTGTAAAAGAGGATCCTCGTAAAGGCAACCTTTGGATTAATAACCCTTTCTTGAAAGGGACCAGATCATCTTGAAATAAAAGATAAGTTGATGGAGGTGTCTTCTGATGTCACTTTTGTGTCCAGACATAATGCCACATATGTAAGATTTTCTATCCCTAAGCAGCAGCGGATGTCACATTAGCTGAAAACCCTAATTTTGTCACATTACATCTAACAAATAAATTGTCGCCTACGTATGTATGTGTTTCTGTGTTTGATTAGTGTCAGGTGGGCGGTGAAACAATTTCCCATGATTTGGTGAAATGTGGATTTTAGAAAGCTATGGAACACCGCTTTAAACGATGTTTAAATATTGTTTTCATGCTTTTAAAAAAAATCATAGACATATCTTTATAGTGTCAATCCAGCATAATCAAGGGTGTACATAACCACACAGGACACTTACCTTTGTGCCCCTTTGATCCCACTTGCACCCCTAGCCAGGAATTGAGCCTGTACAAGGTCAAGGGCATCTTTAGCATTGAACCTATTTGCCCTGGCCTTAGCCTTGACATCCTCGTTAAGTCGGGTCATGTCTGCCATATTTATTACTTCCTGTATGGGAAACAGATGCACACTTTAAGCCTGTTTTGTCACAGCCTTCAGTTTCACGGGGGCCTCATGGTCATAAGAATGGCTGATAACAGAGTCAAAAACTGAGTGCACTAAAGAGTTCAAAGGGAGTAGATCAATCGGCAGACCAAGAGGGATGTGAAAGGATATTACACTGATAAACCTACAAACACTTAAAGTCACCAGCTGGAAGGAGAAGGTCAATCAGTGGAGGCACTTAATATCTGCAGGAAAAACCTCAAAGATTTGAAATGCTGAAGAAGAAGATGAGACAAACTGGCAAATATCCTCAAAACAGGTCGGCATAAGGACAGTCCAGAAGATGCTAAAACAATAATATGCCCCCACCCTTACATATGGACACTCAAATCAATAATGGCAAAACTGCATTTATTGATTACATTCCAACATTCTTGCAAATATATTATAAAGAGGACATATACTTCTGTGCAAATTAATAAAAAAAAACACAATAATACATTGTATATAAAATATAATCAAATATACATAAGCAATAAAGTTAATACTGATTACAAGAACAAAACAGTTATAGCTGAGACGTCATGGCATTGACATTCTGCTAAACAAAGATGCTCTCCTAGCCTTTTTTCCTGGCAAAATTGGGAATCACACTATCAAAATCAATCATTTTTGCAAGATCAGATGCAATACTGAGTCTTGCCTAATCTATCAGTGGCCCTTGTGATATGGCCGACCTTAGATACATTTGTTCAAATCAGCTTTAGTTTGCTGAGTTAGCGCTGCAGAGGCAACAGAGGCAGGAATTGTTAACAGGCAGAGGCAACAGTGGCAGGAATTTTTAACAGGCAGAGGCAACAGTGGCAGGAATTATTAACAGGCAGAGGCAACAGTGGCAGGAATTTTTAACAGGCAGAGGCAACAGTGGCAGGAATTATTAACAGGCAGAGGCAACAGTGGCAGGAATTTTTAACAGGCAGAGGCAACAGTGGCAGGAATTATTAACAGGCAGAGGCAACAGTGGCAGGAATTGTTAACAGGCAGAGGCAACAGTGGCAGGAATTATTAACAGGCAGAGGCAACAGTGGCAGGAATTATTAACAGGCAGAGGCAACAGTGGCAGGAATTGTTAACAGAATACGGTGAAATTTTTCAAAGTGCTTCTAGCTTGTATGTTTTCAAGCAATTCAGTAGCTTCAATGGATGAACATGCAGCAAATGACTTATCTTCATTACAAGATTTTCAGTCATATCAGCTGGATGGTGATCAGCAAGTAATTTTGATTTTTCTTTCAGTTTATCTTAAGAAATTGATAGGTACTTCCAGAGGAAGAACTTGTCAGAAATGCTCAATGCAGTATTGAAATGAAGTCACTCCACCAATGTTATTCAATATTACACAGAAATCAGACTTTCTGAAATATGCTTCCTTATGAGATACATCCATTTTATCTTTTTTTTTTTTTTACAAATATGATTCTTCTGTAGCACTTTATTATAGAGCCAACCACTTTTGCGTTAATTTCACCCCCAGTTCCACAGTTCTAGTTCTCTTATATGTACCAATCAGAAGCAATATGATTAGCTAGGCTCCACACACTTGTCTAGCTGTCCCAGTGTTCAATGAAGACTGATTTGCCAGCTTGAAATCAAGCTTTTAAACTGACACTTTGACATCCAAAGTTGCATCCACATGGTGAAAATAAAGCTACTTAACATTGGTCAAGTATTGTTGAGGCCCACCTAAGCCTGCTTTTTTATCAGTTTTATTGAGCACCAGGTTTGGTCTACATACATAGGAAAGTTCCCTAAGGTGTATGGGAGGTCCATAGAAGATGGCGCTGGTATCACTGAAATGTCCAGAGAAGGACTAAAAAAATTCAATAATTTCATCAACACCTGTAATTGCGCTATTTAATTTGTCTCCTTGAATTTCTTTTAACATCAAAGTTAGCATCGACTATTCTTTCTTAACCATCTGTGCCTTTTATAAACCCACCAATTCTCATTGCTATATTCTCTGTCTTCCCCCATTCTCTTGAAAAATTCTATACCATTCTCTCAAATGCTTAGACTCTATGTAGCTTGTGCTCTCATGACTTTGATTTCTTGAGTAAGGCACAAGATTTTCTGGGTTTTTCCCGTGCTCGCCTTTACCCTGAACATATTCTCACTGCCCACTAAACCTAAACCTGCTCCTGACAGATCTAAATTTATCTTAACTTAATAAGTTAATACCCTAATAATCTGGCTGTTTCTAGAAACTTCCAACGTCACCCTACTATTTCCCGCTCTCATCCTGACACAAGTAATTTCCTCAGTGACCACCCTAGAGTGGTATACAAGCGAGACCGCACAATCTTAAGAACATACTTGTCAGACTGCCTCCAATCTACACAGCACTTCCTTTCAATACTTTAAAATGTACAAGATGAAAAACATGTCCATTTGTGATACAAACTACTTCAGTCTGCTACCCAAAGGGTTTATTTCACATTAGAGAAGCATATACTAGTGAAACATGCAACCTTATTTATGCCATCACCTTGCAAACAATGTAAAAAGGCATATACTGGAGAAATCGGTAGCAAGCTAGCAGATCGCTTCCATGAACATCTTGCTGATATCCATAAGGCTCTTAAACCTGCCTTCCTCATAATTTAACAGTTCTGACAATCAAGGTGAAAGCCGAAAACGATATCTCAGTCAAATATTTAATTAAATTTTACTCTGGAGATCAAACCAACCGCTACTGCTTACATTACAAAATCAGGCACTCTTTCGAATACCGGTCCCAAATTATTCACTGTTAAAAAAAATCTTTTTCAGGGCCTCAAGAGTCTTCGGTAGTACAGTTGTAAGTATTCCACCTGTCATGAGGGTGACTGGTTTTCGATGCCCCAGCTGGATAATACATTTTTTTTAGCCCTTAAAGGGCAGTTGACCTGTTGTGTTGGGGTTTACAGCTAGGCTGCGATATCTGCTCAACACATCCGATCTCAGCAAAATCCTAATTAGTCGCTTTTTAGGAGGCAGTGGATCTATATCTATTGATTTTTTTCTTAAACAATGGTAATGTGAACAATGGATCAAAAACTATTCCTTCCCACGACGCTTAAACAATGGATCAAAAACTATTCCTTCCCACGACGCTTAAACAGTGGATCAAAAACTATTCCTTCCCACAACGCTTAAACAGTGGATCAAAAACTATTCCTTCCCACGACGCTTAAACAGTGGATCAAAAACTATTCCTTCCCACGATGCTTAAACAGTGGATCAAAAACTATTCCTTCCCACGATGCTTAAACAGTGGATCAAAAACTATTCCTTCCCACGATGCTTAAACAGTGGATCAAATACTATTCCTTCCCACGATGCTTAAACAGTGGATCAAAAACTATTCCTTCCCATGGCGCTTAGCTGAACGTCTCAACATTGCAATCCATGAGCAATAACAGGAAAAGTGGAAACATGATGATGGCATAAATGTTGTTACTTCATAACCTATTATTATTAAGGCTCTCAAAGGGATGTTTTACACAGTGAATAATTTGGGACCGGTAAATAGAAGAGTGCCGAAAATCTTTACATTAAGTTTTGGTATTCTCTTCACTCTTCTTAGGGGAGATCCCAAAAAATCAACATCAAAATTTGATTTCATTTATTTATTTACCTTGTTCATACCCCCCCCCCCCCCACACCCACCCTTTTCTAATTTCATATGCACTTTATTTAGTTTAGTTTATTCAATCAATCAATCATTATTATAATATTTCCTCCATACACATATACTAGTGTCATACTTAGGTTTAAAGTTTTTTTTTTTTAGTACTACGCTGATTAAGATTTCTTTGGTAGAAACATTCCGTTGTATTTGAGTGCATATTTTCCGTTGAGTAACATCTTATTATTCTTATGATTTTATGTTGTATTTACTAAATAATTTAGCACTGCAAGCATATTTTATTAATATTATTTATTTTTATTTTTTGCTTGTCAACTTTCATTCCTCCCATGCTGGTTGCACTGTCAAATTGTCATGAAAGCCCTCTGCTCGATACATCAGTTTTGTTTTCGATGTTTTATACTACCTACTACTAACTAGTATAATTATAATCTGTGCTATACTATTTTTATGGACTTTTTTTTTAAAAATGCATATGATAATTAATCATCCATCATGCATTGCATGTGTCTTGTAGCTTATGTCTACAACTACAAACTGTACAAATATTTCTGATTTCTAGTTTCAGTGGTTTTCACAAGGTATTAAACATAACGCAGAAGAAATGTTTGTTCAACAACGGAATCTTCTACTCTTGAACAAACATTGTGAAATAACATAAATAAACAAGAATCACAACAAACAAAGCTCACGTGTCGACAATGAATGCGCCAAAACAATAAATGTTAAATGTCCGAACAGGATCCTTCATTGAAATAATACAAAATAGGGAGGTGTTAATTGTTTTTACTTTATACTGACTCACTGTTCCAGACAATATTACAATCTAGTATCCAAGAAAGGTGGATAGATAGCCATAGTAAATGTTATCCACAAGACTCGTTTAATCGCCTCTCTAGAGAGGGACAATGTGTTACATTCAGACTAAAAAAAGGGCATCATAAGAGACAGAAGGATGGAAGAAAAGCTAAAAGAATAAGAATTCCAGGCATAATTACAATTTCCAGTATCCGTCTGAGAAAAGTAACAGCTATCCTAAGACATTAATTCAGAAGATTAAACAGAAATGAATGCCCTTTAACTTGCAACCAGTTTCAATGTACAGTTTGAAAAGATTCCCCCTCACCTCCCCAATTTTTCCAGTTTATCGACCACCCCCTTTTCCCCTCAATTCCTCCTTTTATTAAATGGAGGTTATGCCAAAGAAGGCTGCAAGGGGGTTTTGCTACGCACACAAAGTAGACAATAGGAAGTATATTTCCAATATTGTTTTTCTTTTTAGAAATGTGGGCTTGTTCCCTTC